GTTTTTCAATCGCTATGTGAAAGGTTGTCTCTTATACACATCTAGATGTGTATAAGAGACAGATGCTCTTCAGAGTGAGCTGTGTAATCACAGAGTTGATGTCAGTCCGCAGCACTCCGGGCTTGGTGGGCAAAAGTCCGTACACACGCTCTGGGGGCAGTGAAATTTGGTGAGCTGAGATGTAAATTTCGGGGAATCAGAAAATCTCTTACTTTTTATTTTTTAAGGATGGACGCAATATATCATGTAGGAGACAATTGCTCTGGCAAAGACTGTTACACGCTAAATTAGAAATAAAATGACGTAAAATATAATTGTTCCTGGCATTTAAATCTAAATTTAGTCGATTTTCTACGAAAAATTCGATTTCCTATCAAAAATTTGCGGTTGAAAACTTTTGCAGCTGCTTTTTTTGTGAGGTTGATTACACAGCAGTAGTTACAATACTAACTGTAACCACAAGGCACCTACAGAACCTAATATGGACAACTGCAGCATGACTGGTCAGTGTGCATGTTATGACTGTATAACACATACACCGCAATCACTGCGCTGCCGATACAAAATCTGGTGTCTAAGGGCCTTCGTATTGCACTCCTCATACTTAGAAATGTTAGGAATTAATCAGAAAGGAATGACTCGTATTACTCATATAAGAAATATGTTATTCAAATGTGAATAATGGAAAATGTTTGCCTTTAGTCCATTAGGCAGCGTATTTCACAAAACAGTTGCATCGCTTCGAGTTTTTTCTGCTTTGTAAATCGAGTTTTACGGAATGCTTTACTGTGTGCAACAGTGCCTTGTTGTACAGTGTAAAGAAGTAATGAACCTTTAAGTGAAAATGTTTTAAATTAGCCAGGGTCGCTATTCTCCAAGACCCACGGACGAAGTTAGGTGTATCGAAGGGTCTTATAATTTATTACGGCCTCAAAATCTTTTCTACTTCTCGCAAATAGCGAGTTTAATGTGTAACTATATATAAATTTTAACTTAGGAGCACCAATCACTTTAAACCACCAGTCATGTGACGTTGGAATAAAACGTTTTGTCATCGTAATTGACGATATTTTAACTACATCAGCTACTAACCAAGGTGGTTTTTATGATATAAACTCTTAATTAACGTGGTTTCAACGTCAATTCCCTGTATGAAAGACACTCACCGGAGTGCACTAGACCGTATGAGGTACACGAAACGTACACTTCCTGTACACCTATACAGGAAGTGTAAACGTACAGGAAGTGTACACGTACAGGAAGTGTACACGTACAGGAAGTGTACTTCCTGTACGTGTAGAACACCTGTAAAAAACACCTGTACGTGTAGAACACCTGTACGTACACCTGTAGAAAAAAACTCACCGGAGTGCACAAGTCCGTACGAGGTACACGAAACGTACACGTACAAGAAGTGTACTTCCTGTACACGTACACTTGTAGAAAAAACACTCACCGGAGTGCACGAGTCCGTACGAGGTACACGAAACGTACACTTCCATGCCAGACTCGTCCTTGTATATAGGATACAGGTACGTGTTACCGAACACATCAGCCCCCAGCACTGCAACAAATGCTTATGTTGGACAAAAGTTTATAGGCATGGAAAACGTCTGTTAAGTTGACCATTGAAAACGTTTCGGAGACAAGATTCATCATTATTTAAAAATTTTAGTTAATACATGGACCAACATTAGAGAAAATCCAAATTCACACGAAAGAGAATCAAGAGAAAGATTTTTTTGCGGGTTAATACGCATTTTAGTAAATATACTCATGTAACATATCCAACACAAAGTAAAAAAATAAAGAGAATCGAGAGAAAGATTTTTTTGCGGGTTAATACGTATTTTAGTAAATATACTCGTGTAACATATCCTACACAAAGTAAAATCTACGTGATTAGGTCCACGTACTGGTAGGCGTGAGGCCGGACAGCTCTATTCTAGCGGCGGTGGTGAAGCCTGACGGGACAGACCTGTAGGTGCCCCGACGCTCCTGCTGCCGTCCCGCGCTGCCGTACAACCAAATAAATATTCTTATTATTTCTTTTATTTATTTCTTTTAATACAAACATTCTTATTATTTCTTTTGTTTATTTCTTTTAATACAAACATTCTTATTATTTCTTTTATTTATTTCTTTTATAACAATGTACATTCAGAGGTCACAGTGTCCTAATGTTGACATACTATCCACACATGGCACCAATGCGCCTAATACTATTGTTTTTCTATAATGCTTTTATTATTTTTATAACTTAAGTATTATTATTTTATGAAACGTTATTATTACTTTAAATAAATTACTTATCGTTTGCTTATGATAATCACCTCGAAAAGTAAATTAATTTTTAAAGGGTATTTTATCGAGATCCTGTCACTGAGTGTAAGTGCTTCCAGGACACCAGGACACACGATGGTCAACTTTAAGCATAATTTGTAATTGTAGTACATTATTATGAAATTTTTCACTCAAAAATTGTTATACTCTTCTTTATATAAGTTTTGTCAATAATTTCTTTAAGGATTATTGTCAATAATAATTAATATTAGGAATGATTGATGATGATTATATGATTAAATGATGAATTCATTACTCACTTATCAACGCACGAGTAAATCATTCAATCACTCACACGCATGTATATGAGTACACCATTACATTACTCACTCATCCACGTAGGAGTACACTATTACTCACTCATCCACGTAGGAGTACACCATTGCTCACTCATCCACGTAGGAGTACACCATTGCTCACTCATCCACGTAGGAGTATTAAGTTTAGTTCGTCACAATATATAACAATCGCTTTCTGAAAATTTAATACAATATAAAATAATCAACTTCGGGAAGGTTTAGATAATATCTAACAATCACCATCTGTAAGTTTTGTAAACTGTTTTTCAATCGCTATGTGAAAGGTTTACAGGATATTCAAAAATCGCCTTCTCAAAGACCAATACGTATTCTATCAATATCTTCATGGAACACATACTGCATTTTGTACAATATACCTCAGTTTTTTCTTGAAGGTTAATACGTATTTACAACACTTCACTTTAACTTCAATCCTTATTGTTTGTCTGCTACAAATCTTATAATCGATTTTTAACATACTTCTACCTCTCCAATGGATCTGAAATTTTACACACTTGCGTAAAGTTGGAGACAATGCATGAATCAAATGACAGAATTTACAATTTTAGAATTTAAACATTTTTTTAGTAAATATAGTCATGGAACAAATCGTACATAAAGCATTTTTTTAGTAAAAACACTCATGGAACATATCGTACACAAAGTAAAATCTATGTGATTATGTCCACGTACTGGTAGGCGTGAGGCCGGACAGCTCTATTCTAGCTGCCGTAGTGAAGCCTGACGGCACAGACCTGTAGGAGCCCCGACGCTCCTGCTGCCGTCCCGCGCTGCCGTACAACCAAATAAATATTCTTATTATTTCTTTTGTTTATTTCTTTTAATACAAACATTCTTATTATTTGTTTTATTTATTTCTTTTATAACAATGTACATACAGAGGTCACAGTGTCCTAATGTTGACATACTTTCCAAACATGGCACCAATGCGCATAATACTATTGTTTTTCTATAATGTTATCATTATTCTTATAACTTAATTATTATGATTTTATGAAACATTATTATATCTTTCAAATAAATTATACTTATTGTTTGCGGACGATAATCACCTCGAAAAGTAAATGAATTTTTAAAATTTATTTTGTCGAGATCCTGTCACTTAGTGTAAGCGATTGCATGAAGCACGATGGTCAACTGAGACATAATTCGTAATTGTAGTAAATTATTATGAAATTTTTCCCTCAAAAAGTTTTATACTTTTCTTTAAATAAGTTTTGTTAATAATTTCTTTAAGGATTATTGTCAATAATAATTAATATTAGGAATGATTGATGCTTATTATATGATTAAATGATGAATTAATTACTCACTTATCAACGTATTAGTAAATCGTTTAATCACTCACACGTATGTATATGAGTAACTCATTATTTTTTTGTTCGTTTTTTCACTAAGCTTTCGTCTTGATGTCCAAGCGACTTGATCACGTTTTCGATTTCTAGGCAAAAAAAAAAAACGCAACTGCGCTAGAGCTGAAATACGCTTGTTTGACAATATGAATATTCTGCATTATTTTTAAATTTTTTTAATAGAAAGTTGCACGTGAATTTTCATGTGCAAATTGCGCGTTCCAAGTTAACATAAAATTTTTTTCTAGGTATTCATGTCTTTTAACTTTGTTTTGGTAGCAGTTTCTTGCAAAAACTTCCATGAAACATCGCCTAAATTAGTGCAATTTATCAATTCAAATAATCGCCCTGAAATAGTATTGAGCCTATGCGATGAATCGTTATTAACAGAACATGCAACAGTCGTCAGTTTCCAGGCTAACTAGGAGAAAGTTAAAGCTCTACGTTAATCATAATTAGAAATTATTAACATTAATCAAGTTATCCGTCAAAATAATTGAAGTTGTTGTACTAATATCACTTGAATGGTTCTAGGAGAATTTCGGAGCCACACGATGCAGCATCTAAAGGCTCGTATTTGCCCGGGTTATTCAGATATAAAAATAATTATTTTAAGATGCTCCCCTAGCGACCCTGTCTTGAAGTGTCTGTTGCGCGCACACGAAATGCTGGATATTGCCTTAAGCCTTTATAGTCCCTTAAACCTTTTACTATCATTGATCTTTAACGGCATGAGAAGATCTCCACGTTTGACTGCATTGCAATCCACATGTTTTACAACACCTCAGTTATACATTTTGTTTCAATTTCTCGCATCGTGTTTCGTCTTGTGATTTGTTCTTAATAAAATAGCTGTTGGTTATCACCCTATATTGTGTGTATATGTTTCCCAGAAAAAAGATATGTTATTTTGTTCAAATGGTTACACACTTCCACACCCGCAACAAAACGTATATGACCTGTCGTATCCCTGCTACGCCTCTTTATTGTCGAGTCAAACTGCGGGTTAAGATAACCCAGAATGCATCGATATTTGAACAAAATCTCACTCATTTCTCTGGGAGTGAGTTTGCTACAACACAGCTGCACTCTGCAGGGTAATCCGCAGCTCAACAGCCCTGATGCGATCGTCCCTAGTTTATAAATTTAGTTGTGCACGATGTGCATCTGCGTATGTTGAGATGACGGCACGCAACTTTTACCCTACGATCGCTGAGCATAGAGGGAGATGTTCTGAAATTTGATTAGTCGTGGAACGATGGCTATTGGAAGAACAATTAATTTATATTTTCATGCCTAGACTTGTTATGAATCCTGAATATGAGAGAAAAACGAGACCTGCATGACCAACACGCTGGGACAATTGTGTTAACAAAAGTTAAGAATTTAGTAAAAAGTTAGTTTTAGTTAGTAAAAGCTAAGGACCAAAAGCTAAGAATTTACTATCTTAGACTATCAGAAAACTTTTAACGTATATGAATTATTGTTATTAAGAAAACCTCGCAATATACTCGTGTTTTAAAATGAAGGTGATCTTACGATTATGCTTGAGAAAACCATGCATTATTTCCTTGATGTTACTAATATCAATAGTTATACAATATATATTGATAATATATATTATAAATAGCCGAATACCAACCTCTTTCCGGCTTCTAATTAGGCCAATTATCCGAATTGAATTATTAAGTACAAATCAGGTATCGGTGCACTGAACTGTAGAGCGCGGATGAGTCTGCAGGGGGAATAGCACTGGTGGTCCGGGTCCACAGTTCAGCTTTTATAGGAAGAAAGTTCGCGTCCAGGGAACAGGTTTGAGCTCCGTTAACGCATCGGCAAAAAATTGCCCGCCGTCCTCAGGTAAATTGAGCAGCATTAATACGAACCTGGGACTTGATGCGAACCTGGGACTTGATGCGAACTTGGGACTTGATGCGAACCTGGGACTTGATGCGAACCTGGGACTTGATGCGGTCCTGGGACTTGATGCGAACCTGGGACTTGATGCGAACCTGCGACTTGATGCGAACCTGCGACTTGATACGAACCTGGGACTCGATGCGAACCTGGGACTTGATGTGAACCTGGGACTTGATGCAAACCTAGGACTTGATGCGAATCTGGGACTTGAAGCGAACCTAGGACTTGATGCAAACCTGGGACTTAATAACTTGGGACTTTATTCGACCTGGAACTTGATGCAAACCTGGGACTTCAAAACCAAATAAAAACTCTCGGGAAAAGTTTACAAATTTTATTTTCGAAAAATTGTATTTTTCCGACCTAATTTTTCAGTCAGTTTGAATCAAATATTAATTCCCATTTCCAGTTCAATGTGAAAGTATGTAAAAAATATGTAATTGTATGCACCACATTTCCCGTTATATATGAGCTACTTTAAGATTCGTTTCGATTCGTTCGGTAATGTGAATATCCATTGTGCATTATTTCATATTCATAAGGCGCAGACTTATTCGAAAATTTCTCATATGTGCGGCAACTGCAACGTCTCTCATATTCCAGCTTATTCAGAAAATTATAGTGTCATATTGTCCAAATAATGTCCTACTTTTTTACCCACACCTCGAGTGGGGGTTCAGAAGGGGCACTGAAACCACCTTTCGGCGGCCAAACTGGGTCAGGATGGGGCAAAATGCATCGCTATTTAGACAATATCTTACTTATTTTTTAAGGTTTTCAATATTTATGTCAGAGTATGTGTTCACTGACGAAGGAATTAGACACACCTTTTATCACACACGGGACAGAAGTCGGGACGGCTTCATGGCTGCGGCAAACTCAGGCTCGTTTCTGAAGCGTCGGGAACAAGTGCAATAAAAAACTTTACTGGAGACTTGTGAGATTAAATCTGTTTTTCCTGTTGCAAACTCAAACTGGATTAATGTCGAGTCATCGCTCGAGCAACTTTCTGTTCAGAGTGAGATAAATCTTCTGAGTTTTTGTACTCTTTGAAGGTTGAATTGCATTCAGTCTTAATTTGTATCAAATGCTGTCTTTTGGGCTGGTGGATTATATAACATAACATAACATAGTGATGTCGGCGCTGAAGTGTAGACCTGATGTGGCCTGTCGCCGATTCTTTTCCTTTTCGTGCCTTGTTCACAGAAGATCTAAACTCGCGTCATTTGACCGGATCTTTTCATGACTGGCGATAGTTTGAAGTAGCTACTAGACTTCCACCGGGATCAACTATTGTCGTCCAGCCATTGGGTATCTCATATTTTTGACAATTAATCAATAAAATCTTCAACGCATGCAGTAGGTGTTTTATATCAATGAATAGTTGCATTTTGAATGAGTGGATTATGATTTTATTATTATTATTTCTTCAGTCTTAAAATGCCTAGCAAATTACGGACCAGGCAATAAGTCCAGCAGCTATCTCAATCAATCGTCAGCTATGGAAAGATCGGGTTCCAAAGGCCGGATCCCTTGTGAATCAAGTCACGAAAAGTTCAAGAATTGGTAGCAGGCCATGGGCCTATTTCTTCAGTGCCGACACTTCTATTCATTGCGTCTTGAAATAACACATTTTTTGCCCGACATCGTTAGCAGCTGCACAGTTAAAATATTCACTTCTAACTACGACAATATTTTTAATACAAAAAAAATTATCTCGCTTGCCTGATGTCACAAATAACCTCTGCATCATGACGGTCATTACTGAAATTAAAACTTTTCGGTATGCAAGTTATGACAAATTTTTAGTTATGTAAATTAATTACTTTGTTTATTTATTTATTTTAGTCTATTTAAGAATGGCAACATCAAGCGGTTATGGAGCTTTTCCCGAGAAAACTACTTTTGCTTGTGTTATTTAGTTTGAATTCATTTTTATAATTTTCCTCTTCTTTTCGAGAAGTCCGCATCAATGCATTCCGTCTTGGGAATTATTCAATTATTCATAAATATTGTCATGTTCCTTATTTATTAATCAACAAGATATTACAAGGGCAAAAGTTCAATAAATAAATTTCAACAAAAAAAGCCCCTAACAAAATTATCATATGAATTTTTTCGACAAGAACAACGATGAATAATAATGGTTAATGCGTGTAAAAATTGTATATTATTAACTGAAAACACCATGTAGACAGACAAACTTAACGCAGAAAGTTATCACAATCATGGTTAATAAATAATATGGATAGTTTATATAAATAGCTTAATCTGCATATATGTTTCAGAATTCAGAATATAAATTTCACAGGTATTCAGCATTCACCGAATTTTTGGGATAGAATGTATTTGATCACTTCTGCTCATAGGTCTTGTATCAAAATGCTTCGAAAAAGAAGCATTAAACATTTTAAATTTACAGCAGTTCTTAGTACTTTCTGTTAAAGACGAAAAGCACGAAAAATTTCAAAATTGTTTGAACTAGTTAACATAAATGAAAAGTTTCAAAGTAAGAAATAAGTCAGTGTTAACTCATATAACAATAGCAGTCCAGTCATGGCATGCTTTTTTGAATCATGTCGAAATTCATGCATCTACGGCGTGACATGAATCACCTTATCGCATGTGTTTTGACTCACAACGCAATATAACAAAATATTATTCTGCAGCAGATTTCTAAATCCATCCATGATTGTAAATTTCCAATTTTAGCACAGAACTTAACCTGTGCATATGAACGAAAGGAAATAATTGCAGTGTTATCCACTTTTTATCAATTGGTGTTGCATATACTGTAAGTTGAGAACCTAGAACTTGAACAAATTTCTTGGGTAGAGTTTACCAAAGAGTAATAATTTTGTACGAGAATTTTTTTTTTGCAAGACTTTGATCTGAATGCGCCAAAGCCTTTTTTTTAAATTTCCTTATACATGGAATACTTGTAGCATCATCCATACCTTTTCTTAATTTGATATTCCAACGATTTCTCCTAAGTTGAAGTAGCATTTGCAGCGGTTTCAACAGGCAAAGCGACAGACCCGACCTCGGTGACGGTTTCTACTTCATTTTGAGCCACGAGAGAATCTGCCACGACGGCGTCCGCGGTAACATTGGTCTTGTCTGCCACAGCAGCATCCGCATTTTGCGACCCGATTGTATCTGCGGTCACGTTTATCTTGTTGCACTCCTGGTTGACAACTCTGAGGCTGCTGGCCTGCGGGATGCTCTTCAGAGTGAGCTGTGTAATCACAGAGTTGATGTCAGTCCGAAGCTGGCCGGGCTTTGTGGGCACTAGCCCGTACACACGCTCTGGGGGGAGTGATATTTAAGGTGAGCAAAAATTGAAATTTCGGGAATCAGAGAATCTCTTGATTTTTCTATGTTAAGGATGGACGCAATTTTTAATTTTACGTAGAAGATAATTACTCTGGCAAAGACTGTTAAATGATAAATTATAAATTATATGTCGTAAATCATAAATATTCCTGACATTTCAATCTAGATTTAGTTGATTTTCTACGAAAAATTCTATTATTTTAATAAGAATATGCGGTTGGAAACTTTTGCAGCTGCTTTTTGCGTGGGGCTGATTACACAGTACTAGTTACACTAGTTAACTAGTGTAACTATAACCAAAACGCACCTACAGAACCTAAGGTGTGTACAACTGCAGCATAACTGCATGATGAGTGTGCATGTTATCACTGTATCATATATACACCGCAATCACTGCGCTGCCGATACAATATCGGGTGTCTAAGGGTCTTCGTATCGTTATAGGTCTCCTCATACTGAGAAATGCCGGGAATTAATCATATAGGGATGACTCATTTTACTCATCTGAGGGATATACTCAAATGTGAAAAATGAAAAATAATTGCCTTTGCTCCATTAGGTAGCGTTATTCACAGGACAGTTGCATCACCTCGAGTTTTTTGCGCACTGCAAATCGAGTTCCATGGAATGCTTTACTGTGCGCAGCAGTGCGTTTTTGTACAGTGTAAAGAAGCAATGAAAGGAGCAAATGAAAGGAGCAGAGAAAATATTTGTAAGTTAGAAAGGGTCTCTATTCTTCAAGACCCATGGCATCGAAGTCAAGTGTATCGAAAGGTCTTATAGTTTATCAAGGCCTCAAAGTCTTTTCTACTTCTCGCAAATATTGAATTTAATGATGAATTATATATTAATTATGACTTCAGGGCACCAATAGTTTTAAACCATCAGTCATGTGACGTCAGCATAAAACGTTGTTTCATCGAAATTAACGCTAGTGCAAGTACATCAACTACTAATCAAAGTAGTTTCAATGAAATAAACTCGGAATCAACGTTGTTTCAACGATGTAAGACACTCACCGGAGTGCACGAGTCCGTACGACGTACACGAGACGTACACTTCCATGCCAGACTCGTCCTTGTATATAGGATACAGGTACGTGTTACCGAACACATCAGCCCCCAGCACTGCAACAAATGCTTATGTTGGACAAAAGTTTATAGGCATGGAAAACGTCTGTTAAGTTGACCATTGAAAACGTTTCGGAGACAAGATTCATCATTATTTAAAAATTTTAGTTAATACATGGACCAACATTAGAGAAAATCCAAATTCACACGAAAGAGAATCAAGAGAAAGATTTTTTTGCGGGTTAATACGCATTTTAGTAAATATACTCATGTAACATATCCAACACAAAGTAAAAAAATAAAGAGAATCGAGAGAAAGATTTTTTTGCGGGTTAATACGTATTTTAGTAAATATACTCGTGTAACATATCCTACACAAAGTAAAATCTACGTGATTAGGTCCACGTACTGGTAGGCGTGAGGCCGGACAGCTCTATTCTAGCGGCGGTGGTGAAGCCTGACGGGACAGACCTGTAGGTGCCCCGACGCTCCTGCTGCCGTCCCGCGCTGCCGTACAACCAAATAAATATTCTTATTATTTCTTTTATTTATTTCTTTTAATACAAACATTCTTATTATTTCTTTTGTTTATTTCTTTTAATACAAACATTCTTATTATTTCTTTTATTTATTTCTTTTATAACAATGTACATTCAGAGGTCACAGTGTCCTAATGTTGACATACTATCCACACATGGCACCAATGCGCCTAATACTATTGTTTTTCTATAATGCTTTTATTATTTTTATAACTTAAGTATTATTATTTTATGAAACGTTATTATTACTTTAAATAAATTACTTATCGTTTGCTTATGATAATCACCTCGAAAAGTAAATTAATTTTTAAAGGGTATTTTATCGAGATCCTGTCACTGAGTGTAAGTGCTTCCAGGACACCAGGACACACGATGGTCAACTTTAAGCATAATTTGTAATTGTAGTACATTATTATGAAATTTTTCACTCAAAAATTGTTATACTCTTCTTTATATAAGTTTTGTCAATAATTTCTTTAAGGATTATTATCATTAATAATTAATATTAGGAATGATTGATGATGATTATATGATTAAATGATGAATTCATTACTCACTTATCAACGCACGAGTAAATCATTCAATCACTCACACGCATGTATATGAGTACACCATTACATTACTCACTCATCCACGTAGGAGTACACTATTACTCACTCATCCACGTAGGAGTACACCATTGCTCACTCATCCACGTAGGAGTACACCATTGCTCACTCATCCACGTAGGAGTACACTATTACTCACTCATCCACGTAGGAGTACACTATTACTCACTCATCCACGTAGGAGTACACTATTACTCACTCATCCACGTAGGAGTACACCATTACTCACTCATCCGCGTAAGAGTACACTATTACTCACTCATCCGCGTAGGAGTACACTATTACTCACTCATCCACGTAAGAGTACACCATTGCTCACTCATCCACGTAGGAGTACACCATTACATTACTCACTCATCCACGTAGGAGTACACCATTACTCACTCATCCACGTAGGAGTACACTATTACTCACTCATCCACGTAGGAGTACACGTAGCTAGAGCCTTCGTAGAACTGCAGGCGCGCGCACTTCTGACTCGCGTGCTCCGTGGCGAGCGACAGCGCAACAAGGTAGCCATCGTCAGCCACGATCTGGGGCAGAGAAATGAGTGAGTCTTTGTCCAAATAATGATGCAGTTGTTGCTTTTGTGCAGGTCATACTAAGACATTTTCTGCACGAAAAGAGAAATGAGTGAGTCTTTGTCCAAATAATGATGCAGTTGTTGTCTTTGTGCGGGTTATCCTAAGACATCGTCAGCCATGATCTGGGGGCAGAGAAATGAGTGAGTCTTTGTCCAAATAATGATGCAATTGTTGCCTTTGTGTGGGTTATCCTAAGACATCGTCAGCCATGATCTAGGGGCAGAGAAATGAGTGAGTCTTTGTCCAAATAGCGATGCTGTTGTTGCCTTTGTGTGGGTTATCCTAAGACATCATCAGCCATGATCTGGGCAGAGAAATGAGTGAGTCTTTGTCCAAATAGCGATGCTGTTGTTGCCTTTGTGTGGGTTATCCTAAGCATCATCAGCCACGATCTGGAGCAGAGAAATGAGTGAGTCTTTGTCCAAATGGTGATGTAGTTGTTGCCCATGTGTGTGTCATCCTGAGACATCGTCAGCCACGATCTGGGGCAGAGAAATGAGTGAGTCTTTGTCCAAATAATGATGCAGTTGTTGCCATTATGTGCATGGGTCATCCTAAGAGACATTGTCGTCCGCTCCGCCACGATCTGAGGCCGAAGGTTACGAGGTTACACTTAGAGAAATGAGTGAGGCGTTGTCCAAATAATACGGCAGTTTTTGTCCCTGTGTGAATTATCCAGGCCTAGTTTAACCAGTATAGTTTATAGATCATTTTTTTGACAATATAACTCAATAATTTGTCTGAGTGGTGACACGCGCCAAGATATGATGTAGCCTCTTCTGATGGAACATAAATCAGAAGCCTGGAATTAATTTCAATTTTACTTCAAAAAGTCTTAGTTTTAGCTATTTTATTTTATTTTTTTGCTGAGTCATAAATTAATTGTCGAATAATTATAAAAAAGGTATGTGAACAATTAAAACCATTATTATGTAAGAAATAATACTATTATTATATGTTATAAGTGCACACGAATGTAAGTTATAGCTGTGGTATTGTGTTACATGTAAAAGAAATTGTGTATAGTATGACATAGCACGCGTGCGTAAAGTGTTGCGTGGTAAAGAAATTATGTATAATTTGACAACACAATAGGCTTAAACCTACCCCACTCACCTGACTAATTTTGCGCGTGTTGAACCAGTCGCTGGTCTGGTAGATGGGACATGAACCCGTACTGAACCCCAACTGAGCCCTACTGAACCCCACGCACACCACCAGCGCCAGCAATACCCTACTGAACCACGTCATTTTCTGCACACGGTAAATATATTAACTCATGAATCGAGATGTTACGTGAAACGTAAGTACATAGTATATGATGCNGGAAACGTGCAACAAATTATTGATTATTGTATTGTCATCGGGAGCTGAGCTTCCCTAAAAGTTTCAGAGCGCTAGCTAGCGGGAAAGTTGGTGAAATATCGATTGCAATATTTGATCATTACAGACAGACAGACAGACACGAAAGCGAGCTAAGAAAAACGTGGTAATAATCACATAAACATATGTTATCTTCTGCACCTCATTAACGATATTTTTCAATCCGTATAAATTTACTCGTCGCTCTTATACTACATTAATATCGGCACATATATTAATGAGTAGGTTCATCATTAATATGACTTGACACTACTAAAAAATAACATCGAGTACGTGTATGTCATAATAAAGAATTAGTATTAGATGGCAGAATTTTCTTGTTAATGGCTAATGTCTTCGCCGATATTAAACGATACCAGCTTGTATTTTTCAATCATTATACGAGAGCATCGAAAACTTTTCTAGCAAGTCAAATCGAAATCACCTACATTGTAATCAGAAATCAGCATCGCCTTAACAACCATAATAAGTATAATTTTCATTATTTCTAGTTACAGTTAATATATGATAGAAGTCAGGTTAGAGCGGCGTCTGGTTAAACGTTCACAATAGCGTATGTTGGGCACAACGGTCCACATTTCTAACCGGTTTCCGGATACGCATGACCGTTACTCGGGGACCGTTAGTTTAGGCGCGTAGCATGCAGATGTGGAAATTATGCATAATGGGCATCATGAATCTTCTACAACAAGTAGAAAATTAAACGATAAAATCCTATTAATTCTTTAAATATTTAATTCTTTTTCTCTTAACTGTTTTCGCGCAGTATTCGATGACCAACGCACGAGGAAAAATACGTGTTGAAAAAATAATTGTGTGCCAGTGAAGGCCTAGAAAATTGTACTTGTAGCGGCAATTTTTTAATTAACATGATCAATTTAAAGTATTAATTCTTTTTCTCTTAACTGTTTTCGCGCAGTATTCTATGACCAACGCACGAGGAAAAATACGTGTGAAAAAACTAATTGTGTGCCAGTGAGAGCCTAGAAAATTGTACTTGTAGCGGCAATTTTTGAATTAACATGATAAATTTACATTACTTAAATTCTTTAATGGTAAATTAAAATTCTTAGCTCTTGAAAATTTCTTAAATTAACATTTTTCTACTCTTAGTTCTTTAATGTTTTGTAATGATGGATTTGTACCCAATGCGGTCACCGCAACCCAAGCTTGTAAGGCCGGAAAAGAAAGCTAGTAACGCGGCGCACAGGCGACACTGGCTTTCCCAACTGCATATGCTCACCATTAGCACGACTTCTCGGTAGAACTTTTCTAATACAACACACTACATTAAATTTAAAATATTTGCTTGAACACGTCCTTACACAACACTAAATGCAAGATGGTTGTTTGAACATCTTACTCATAATATTTAATGTAGGACGGTAGCTTTAACGCAACACATTTTACTAAATGCAAGATGACTGCCTTGGAAATACTAGGAATCCTTTCTAATCCGGCAACAGGACGGGCCAGGTGTTCCATATAAATCTAGTTTTCAGAAAGCTTCACGTTTTTGAGAAAAACATCTATGTACTTTCAAGATCATAATTTTATCAGCCAATAGATGTGTCAGCCCAATATAAATAACCTGCGTCATGATCTTACTCATCATTTACTGAAATTCTTATAAAACCATCAGCAGCTGCTTCTAGTATTATTCCGCATAGTGGATAGCTGATCCTCTACAAGATTGCGGCACTGTAACTCATAAAATAATAAATTTAAGCATGTTTATTGTTCAAAAAGGGAGATCAGGTTTATCAAGACTCAGCAACCCACAGTCGAGCAAGTTTTTCCGGCCAACCAGTGAAAGGTTGAGGTATCAAAGATGTTGAGAAACCACGAGTTATTTTAAACAAAAAATTATCTATTGCTCATCAAATTGAAGAGTCTGATTAACAATAAAAAAAACCTTGCGAAAATAATTTGTTCTAGCAACGCTGACAATTGAATGTGAACTTTCCTGTGAGGAACGATCCATCGTAGGTAATAACCAAGGAAAGAAAGCTGAATGTTGTAACTTTCGTGCAAGGAACGATCAATCGTAGGCGATAACCAATGAAAGAAAGTTTAATGTCGTAACTTTCGTGTGAAGAACGATCCATCGTAGGTGATAACCCAGAAAATAAAGTTCTAAGTCGTAACTTTCGTGTGAGGAACAATCCATCGTAGGTGATAACCGTGGAAAGAAAGTTCTAAGTCGTTACTTTCGTGCGAGGAACGATCAATCGTGGCGTGGATAATAAAATAATAATACGAAAACGCAACGTACGATGAGGTTTTGGCTTGGTATTGGTAAGCTCGTCGTGACAACCATTACTCACAAATATAAACTACTTCACTGCAAATTTAATTCATATTCAGTTGTATAGCAGCTAGTCGTCTGATTTTATGTAAACCACGCGATGTGATCTACTTCTTAAAACGTAATACAATTAATTAATGGCATTGTAAACCTGCATCAAAATGTCAAGAGAATTAATAATAAAATTTCCATTCACATTTATACGGCTAAAATATATATACTTATGTCGAGACAGCTCCCTAACTGCACATCCACTAGCTAATCAAGAGCTTACCTGCGATGTGCTCACGCGTTGCCGTACGCTTCAACAGTGAGCCAAAGACAGAGGTGCAGGCTCTTATATAGCCACGGGTGCGGTCGAGGCGTTTCTCCGAAATCCTGCTGTTCACTGCACGCATACTGTAGCACTGCACGCATACTGTAGCTCACTGCACGCATACTGTAGCTCACTGCATGCACTACTGCGATATAGTTAAGCATTTAGTCTCAGGTCGGCATGGCTAGCTAAATAAAACATATAGTTTTCATCGCTGTCACATTATCGCTCTTTTGACAGACTTTTAGACGACAGCGTGCGACGTTCCTGGCTTCTAATTTAGTGTTTTACAATCAATAACTAATTTGATATTTCCCAATAACTCCAGATGTGATTTTTTTCTGCAAGGCCATCTTAAAAGCTGCAATTCCATCATTCCACTAAAGTCTTCAGATCGGGAAAGCCAGGCATTTTTTGTGTTTTTTAAACCACTTCGTCACCGATTGGTTTGCATGAACCTTCACCATCGTTAATGAAAAATAGCATAAAGGAAAAAAAAGTATTGTAGAGGATAAAAAATCAGTAACTATTTATTCTAGAACGAGAAGGGACAACACGATATAAAATCATTTTGTTTTGATATATTATTAAATGGGTAAAAAAGTACAAAGAAATTAATCCCTCGTAAAATTCCGACTTTCTAAGCTTGTACTATGCGAAATTACCTTCATTGATAATGTACTATGTACCATGTGAAATGACCTTCAATGATACCTTCAATATCATTGAAGTTGAATTATGCCGTTTTCGCAGCAAAATCAAAGCCTGCGGAAATAATATTGTAATATTTTGTTCGAAAGAGTCAACGGCATCCTGTTTGTTTTTAATCGGACACCATGAATAAATTTTAATTTATAGCATTTGTTGGACCTAGAGTCTGAAATTTTTCGAATGAATTACTACTTTGAATGTCGCAGTACTTTTACACATAACTCAAACTAGTTTTATTTACAGTTTTTGGCTCCCTTCACAGTTGGCTCCCTTCAGTCTGAGGATGGAGAGCCTGCTGGATATTGCTTTAACCAGCTCGTTATAGAGTTTGCTGACGGGGCAGATGTGCATATTTCTAGCTTTCAACTCGTGCGCTGGGTGGTAGGGCTTCTTGCAAGGTCTGCTGGGTGGTAGAGTTTCTTGCAAGGTCTGCTGGGTGGTAAGGGCTTCTTGCAAGGCCTGCTGGGTAATAGTGGTTTCTTGCAAGGTCTGCTGGGTGGTAGGGTTTCTTGCAAGGTCTGCTGGGTGGTAGGGCTTCTTGCAAGGTCTGCTGGGTGGTATAGGGTTTCTTGCAAGGTCTGCTGGGTGGTAGGGTTTCTTGCAAGGTCTGCTGGGTGGTAGGGTTTCTTGCAAGGTCTGCTGGGTGGTAGGGTTTCTTGCAAGGTCTGCTGGGTNGGCTGCTGACATGGTCTGTTGGGTGGTAGGGGTTTCTGGCAAGGTGCGTTGAGTGGTAATAAGGGCTTCTGACATGCTCTGTTGGGTGGTAGGGGCTTTTGGCAAGGTATGTTGAGTGGTAAGGGCTTCTGACATTGTCTCTTGGGTGGTAGGGGCTTCTGACAAGGTACGCTGGGTTTTAGGGTCTTCTATCCCACTGAGCTGAGTGGCAGGGGTATCTGGCAATGTCTTCTTGGTGCTAAAGACTTCAGGCTCACTGGGCTGAGTTGTAGGGGCATCTGGCAAGGTCTGCTGGTAGGTATGGTCTTCTTGCTCATTGAGCCGAGTGGTAGGGGATTCTGGCAGGACGTGTTGAGTGGTATGGGCTTCTGGTAAATTGTGGTGGTTGGTAGAGGCTTCTGACAAGATGTTTTGAGTGGTATGGGCTTCTGGTAAATTGTGCTGTATGGTAGAGGCTTCTGGCAAGATGTTTTGAGTGGTATGGGCTTCTGGTAAATTGTGCTGGATGGAAGAGGCTTCTAACAATATCTGCTGGGCGGTAAGTGCTTCTGTCAAGGGTTGCTGGGTGGTAGTGGTTTCTGGCTCTTTGAGCTGAGTGTTAGAGGTTTCTGACGAAGTCTGCTGAGCCGTGGGGGCTTCTGCCTCACTGGTCTCAGTAGAAGAAGCTTCTGGCTCGGTCATCTGGGTCGTAGAGGCTTCTGGCAAGGTCTGTTTAACTGTAGCGACTTTTTTCACGGTCTGTTGGGTTTTAGGATTTTCTCGTAAGTTTTGCTGGGCTGTGAGGGCTTCTGGCCAAATTTGTTGAGGTATGGAAGCTTCTGGCAAGGCTAGCTGGGTAGTAAGGGCTTCTGATTTAGTGTTTTACAATTGATATTTAATTTAATATTTATAATTTGATATTTCCAAATAACTCCAGATATGATTTTTTCTGCAAGGCCATCTGAAAAGCAGCAATTCCATCATCCCGCTAAAGTCTTCAGATTGGAAAGCCGCGCAGTATTTGTGTTTTTAATACCACTTCGTCACCGATTGGTTTGGATGAACCTCCACCATCGTTTATGAAAAAAAAGGAAAAAAAAGTATTGTAAAGGATAAAAAATCAGTAACTATTTATTATAGAACGAGAAGGAGCCAACACGATATAAAATCATTTTGTTTTGATATATTATTAAATGGGTAAAAAAGTACAAAGAAATTAATCCCTCGTAAAATTCCGACTTTCTAACTTGAACTATGTGAAATAAACTTCAGTATCACTGAAGTTAATTTATGACGTTTTCGCAGCAAAATCAAAGCTTGCGGAAATAATATTGTAATATTTTGTTCGAAAGAGTCAACGGCATCCTGTTTGTTTTTAATCGGACACCATGAATAAATTTTAATTTATAGCATTTGTCGGACCTAGAGTCTGAAATTTTTCGAATGAATCACTACTTTGAATGTCGCAGTACTTTTACACATGACTGAAACTAGTTTTATTTACAGTTTTTTTCACTTTAAACATCGTGGCTCCCTGCAGTCTGAGGATGGAGAGCCTGCTGGATGTTGCTTTAACCAGCTCGTTATAGAGTTTCCTGACGGGGCAGATGTACATATTTCTATCTTTCAACTCGTGCGCTGGGTAGTAGGGCTTCTTTCAAGGCCTGCTGGATGGTAGGGGCTTTTCGCAAGGTCTTCTGGGTAGTAGCGGCTTTTTGCAATGTCTGCTGGGTGGTAGGGGGCTTTTTGCCAAGTCTTCTGGGTAGTCAGGGCTTCTTGCAAGGTCTGCTGGTTAGTAGTTTTTTTCTTTCAAGGTTTGCTGCGTTTAAAGGGCTTCTTGCAATGTCTGTTGGGTTGTTGAGGGCTTTTACAAGGTCTGCTGGGTATTAAGGGCTTCTTGCAATGTCTGTTGGGTTTTGGGGGGTTTCTACAAGTTCTGCGTGGTGGTAGGGGCTTTTTTGCAAGGTCTGCTGATAGTACAGGTTTCTTGCAATATTTGCTGGGTGGTAGGGGATTTTTACAAGGTCTGCTGGGTGGTCGGGGCTTCCTGCAAGGTCTGCTGGGTTGTGGGGGCGTATTGCAAGGTCTGTGGGGTGGTAGGGGCTTCTGACAGGGTGTGTTGAGTGGTAAAGGCTTCTGACAAGGTCTGCTGGGTGGTAAAAGCCTCTGAAAAGTTGTGTTGAGTGGTAAGGTCTTCTGACAAGGTGAGTTGGTTGGTAGAGGCTTCTGGCAAAGTGTGTTGGGTGGTAAGGGCTTCTGACAAGGTATGTTGAGTGCTAAGGGCTTCTGCCATGGTCTGTTGGGTGGTAGGGATTTTTTGCAAGATATGTTGAGTGGTAAGGGCTTCTGACAAGGTCTGTTGGGTGGTAGAGGCTTCTCGCAAGGTGCGTTGAGTGGTAAGGGCTTCTGACATGGTCTGTTGAGTGGTAGGGGCTTTTGGCAAGGTATGTTGAGTGGTAAGGGCTTCTGACATGGTCTGTTGGGTAGTAGGGGCTTCTGACAAGGCGTGTTGAGTGGTAAGGGCCTCTNGAATGGAGTAAACCTCGATCAAGGTCTCTGCGCTGTACAAGCTCTTGGCTTTCAACTCAATTGCGATGGATTCGGGCACTGATGCAGAGAGCCCATCTTTAGGAGCCAACACGTACTGGTTCTCTGTGACAGGAAGGAGTTAATAATAGGTAGTTAGTATAATATTAGTCAAATTATAATAATAGGTACGTTATAAAATGAATTATATATTAATAATAATTAATACTATTTTGTGAGCATTGGGAATGTTACATGATCGAGATTAGTTATTGTTTTGTGGAAGAAATTTACATGCTCAATGTACAAGCCGTAAAAGCTGCTTTACCTGATAAATGCAGCAGAAATTTTACAGATTTCTGATAATTTTTTTCCATTTCAATCATTCACAGAGGTTGATAGTATTTGAAGAGAAAGTTTAATACATGAGACGATATAGTGACAGCGATCTTCTCGATAGAAAAAAAGAATATGTCTATTGATGGCGATGAATCTTGCACACTCAAGCTCCCATCTGACGAATGACAGCCGGTGTCTGTACAGTCATTACAGACTGACCGGTATTGAATAGCTGGTAATCTGTACAGTCATTACAGACTGACCGGTATTGAATAGCTGGTAATCTGTACAGTCATTACAGACTGACCGGTATGGAAGAGCTGACAGTCTGTACAGTCATTACAGACTGACCGGTATGGAAGAGCCGGTAGTCCGTACAGTCATTACAGACTGACCGGTACGGAAGTGCTGATAGGCTGCTCAGTCATTACAGACTGACTGGTACGGAAGAGCTGACAGTCTTTACAGTCATTACAGACTGACCGTTATGGAAGAGCTGATAGTCTGTACAGCCAATACAGACTGACCGGTATGGAAGAACTGACAGTCTGTACAGTCATTACAGACTGATCGTTATGGAAGAGCTGGTAGTATGTAGTCATTGCAGACTTACCGGTATGGAAGATCTGGTAGTCTGTACACGCCACGTAGACTCGGTAGCTCTTGTCTGTAGACCGGGCGCCAGACATCGCCCCGGGAGCTCCCGCTACATAGACCGGCGTCAGCCACGAGTTCCCGAAGACATCGCTCCCCAGCACTAAAAAGTTTATATTTCCATTAAAGTATTTTCGTGAAATTATCCAAAGAATCACGCGAACACTTTGAAAAAATTCTATGTCTATGTTTAAATTAAAGTTTTTCGTGAAATAATTTTTCTTTATCATACGCAAACCAACCGAAAAAATTTACCTGCTTCAATTGATTGATTGATTGATTGTATAAAATTGATTGATTATACAAAATTGATCCTCCTGGAATCATACAAACAATTCTACGCATTCCAAGAAAGAAACTTTTCACATGTTTCAATTTAAATTTTTTTCGAACCGATTCTCAATCAATTATATACGCAATCTGGAAGCTGGGGGCACGTATTTCAAGCCAAACGGGACTCAAAATTTTAGATTTCAAAATCCATCATGAATTTGTCCTGTGATACAAGATTAAATCGAGATTAGTGCAGCTAAAAGCAACTTTACATCGTGATATGCGTTTTGATTTTGTTAGACGTAATCAAATTTTAAAAAATGTTACATCACATTAACACTTCATATGCTGGTGTTTTTTCCTAACTTTTTCAAGAACCACGCGGGCTGCAATTTTAATGAACACTCATGCTATAGTTTCATAAATCTTCCAGTGATTGATTTCATGTAGACGTTTCAATGGTATACTGTTCAATTCTGACCTCCCTTCATGCGTCGTTCTTTTGTACGGCAATTTTCGAAGGCATTATTTGTGATCATTCAAGCAGTAATTTGTTATACCTTGTGTCGTTATACACTGTTAGAAAAATTTCCGTTAACGGTATTACCGGCGTTTCAGTGGCTGGTCGGCACATGAAAAGAAACACCGTGTCGCCGTTTTTATTCTAATTTTACACTAGAAATCCGTAAAACATCTGATAAAAACGGCGAAACAGTTTATTTTCACGGGGCGACCGGCCACTAGAACGCCAGTGGGACCGTTTTTTCACCGTTTTTTCTAACAGTGTACATGTTCATAAATTCATTAATGTTTCATCTTTCGGTTTTACTAGCATCTGCATTTGGAGAAAAAAAACTATTTACGCGGACCGGTCGAAACACGTCGCTTTCAAACCTGGTAACATGTGCTTTACTGCCGGTGAAATTTCTGAGAATAGTTATATTGTGATACATTTTCGGTGTCATATTTTTGCATTGTGATTGATTAAAATGGTAGTAATAGCTCAGGTAGGTACAATTGCCGTACTATCTTGTTACGTTTCTTGTCTTTGTTTTCAGAACCTTTTCGCTTAATTTTCACGACCGTTAATTCAGTGCGTGCTGGATTGTTTTTACCTATTTACTCATAATTACTTATATTTACCCATAATTACATAATTTTTCATTGGCGCCTTCATTATCAATATAATATTAAAAATATTGAAATCACTTTCCTGCTCGGTTAAAGTTCGGTTGGTCATTTTACTTCTGAAGTAAGAGCGTACAGATGTCATCGTTGTACGCTCTACCAATCTTTATGCCTACTAATTTTTTCAAAATAATTATGTATGATAAAAATTTATTAATCCATACTATTCTTGCGTAGCGAATATGACCACTTGAAAGTAAATTATCGTTTTGTTTTTTTTCTGTTCACACATGGTTAAAAGTCTGACGAATATACGGATCTCCAAATCAAATACTTGAATAAATTAAACAGATGCAAATTCTAATTTTGAACCCTTTTCAATTCCATGTAAAGTTTTGTCAGTGAAAGCCTGTTTCACTATTGCATGTCGCAAGTAAAATTCTTTCACTTTTGATGCCAACTTTCACCAGATTAAGCTTTTATCTTCTATAGTAATAAACTCTTGGAAACACAAGTATAAGAATACAAGAAAAATATACAAGTACCTCCAGAGGGACCATGCAGTCTGATGTACCCAGGCTGTGTGAAGGAGGTAGGTTTCGCTGTGTAACTTCCTGTATATTTCGTCGCGGCGACGCCGGTATCAGCTCTAGAAAATTCACTTGTTTTAATATTCCATAAGGAAATTATTTTATTTATTTCTGGTGTTGACAACAATAATCTAACTACTAATTGCAAGTAATGACTATTTTATCATTATTGACTACGTGGATTTCAATGGAGCCGCCTTCGTATAAATTTAATTCTAATTATGCTCATTTTTTGTGTTGTTTGTCAAGTTTCATGGCATTTTCGCTTAGTGCAGCGACTGCTTTAAATTCTGGACAAACTTTTGAGTTTAGCCAATATTGTCTTCGCCATATACGCAGTTTTCTATATCATGCCTAACAAAATATTCAATTTCAACCTTATATTAAGCTATAAATCCTAAAACAGGGATGACTAAATTTAAAGTAGGCTCTCTAATTCTCAAGAAGAAATCCCCGTCAATCTCGAATTATTCTACTAAACTTAAAACAAATTATTCAACTTTTTTTGCCGTACTTTCCATATGTCGTCATTTAAAGTTCGCTCCATTATTCACAGCAAAAAAATCTCCGTCATACTCGAATTAATCTACTAAACTCGAATTTATTAACTTTTTTGCCGTACTTACCGTATGTCATTTAAAGTTCGCTCCATTATTCACAGCAAAAAATCTCCGTCAATCTCGAATTAATCTACTAAACTCGAATTAATTAACTTTTTTTGCCGTACTTTCCGTATGTCATTTAAAGTTCGCTCCATTATTCACAGCAAAAAATCTCCGTCAATCTAGAATAAATCTACTAAACTTAAAACAAATTATTTATTTTTTTTGCCGTACTTGCCGTATGTCATTTAAAGTTCACTCCATTATTCACAGCAAAAAATCTCCGTCAATCTCGAATTAATCTACTAAACTCGAATTAATTAACTTTTTTGCCGTACTTACCGTATGTCATTTAAAGTTCGCTCCATTATTTAACTTTTTTGGCCGTACTTGCCCTAGGTCGTCATTTAAAGTTCGCTCCATTATTTAACTTTTTTGCCGTACTTGCCGTAGGTCGTCATTTAAAGTTCGCTCCATTATTTAACTTTTTTGCCGTACTTGCCGTAGGTCGTCATTTAAAGTTCGCTCCATTATTTAACTTTTATTGCCGTACTTGCCGTAGGTCGTCATTTAAAGTTCGCTCCATTATTTAACTTTTTTGTCGTACTTGCCGTAGTATGGAAGAGCTGGTAGTCTGTACACGCCACGTAGACTCGGTAGCTCTTGTCTGTAGACCGGGCGCCAGACATCGCCTCAGGAGCTCCAGCTACATAGACCGGCGTCAGCCACAAGTTCCCGAAGACATCGCTCCCCATCACTGAAAAGTTTATGTTTCTAGTAGAGCAATTTCGTGAAATAATTTTATTAATTATAAGCAATCTACCCAAAAAATTTCACCTGTTTCAAATGAAGTATTCGCGTGAAATTATATACCCAATTTTACGTATTCCAAAACAGCAATTTCCAATACCTTTCAATACAAATATTGCCAGATTAATTATCAACCAATTATACGTCATCAAGCAATTATAAGCGAATTGGAGGCTGGGGGCATATATTTCATGCTAAACGGGACTCAAAATTCGTGATTTACAAATTTATCCTGAATTTGTTCTGTGATACAAGATTAAATCGAGATTAGTGCAGAAAAAAGCAACTTTTTAACGTGAAATGCGTTTTGATTTTGTTGGACGGAATCAAATTTTTAAAAAAAATGTTACATCACATTAACACTTCAAATGCGGGTGTTTTTTCCTAATTTTTTTAAGAACCACGCGGGCTGCAATTTTAATGAACACTCATGCTATAGTTTCATAAATCTTCCAGTGATTGATTTTATGCAGACGTTTCAATGGTAGTTGGTGACCTCCCTTCATGCATCGTTCTTTTGCACGGCAATATCCGAAGACACTACTCGTGATCATTCAAACAGTAATTTGTTATACCTTGAGTCGTTATACAATGTTATAAAAATTACCGTTAACGGTATTACCGGCGTTTCAGTAGCCGGTCGGCACGTGAGAAGAAACACCGTGTCGTCGTTTTTATTCTAATTTAACACTAGAAATCCGTAAACCATCTGAAAAAAAACGGCGAAACAGTTTATTTTCACGGGGCGACCGGCCACTAGAACGCCAGTGGGACCGTTTTTTCACCGTTTTTTCTAACAGTGTACATGTTAAAAGTCTGACGAATATACGGATCTCCAAATCAAATACTTGAATAAATTAAACAGATGCAAATTCTAATTTTGAACCCTTTTCAATTCCATGTAAAGTTTTGTCAGTGAAAGCCTGTTTCACTATTGCATGTCGCAAGTAAAATTCTTTCACTTTTGATGCCAACTTTCACCAGATTAAGCTTTTATCTTCTATAGTAATAAACTCTTGGAAACACAAGTATAAGAATACAAGAAAAATATACAAGTACCTCCAGAGGGACCATGCAGTCTGATGTACCCAGGCTGTGTGAAGGAGGTAGGTTTCGCTGTGTAACTTCCTGTATATTTCGTCGCGGCGACGCCGGTATCAGCTCTAGAAAATTCACTTGTTTTAATATTCCATAAGGAAATTATTTTATTTATTTCTGGTGTTGACAACAATAATCTAACTACTAATTGCAAGTAATGACTATTTTATCATTATTGACTACGTGGATTTCAATGGCCTTCGTATAAATTTAATCAATGGCCTTCAATATTAGCTTTCAATATAATCAATATAATGGCTTTCAATATAATCAATGGCCTTCGTATAAATTTAATTCTAATTATGATCATTTTTGGTGTTGCTTGGCAAGTCTCATGGAAGCTTCACGTTGTGCAGTGACTGCTTAACAAATTCTTGGCATTCATATGAATGTAGCCTATATTGTCATTACTATATTCGCAGTTTTCTATATCATGCTTAACAAAATATTCAATTTCAATCTTATATTAATCTAGAAATCTTAAAACATGAATGACCAAATTTAAAGTAGGCTCTATAATTCTCAACAAGAAATCCCAGTCAAACTCGAATTAATCTACTAAACTTAAAACAAATTATTCAACTTTTTTGGCCGTACTTTCCGTAAGTCGTCATTTAAAGTTCACTCCATTATTCACAGCAAAAAATCTCCGTCAATCTCGAATAAATCTACTTAACTCGAATTGATTGATTGAATTTTTTTTGCCGTACTTACCGTATGTCATTTAAAGTTCGCTCCATTATTCACAGCAAAAAATCTCCGTCAATCTAGAATAAATCTACTAAACTTAAAACAATTAATTAACTTTTATTGCCGTACTTGCCGTAGGTCGTCATTTAAAGTTCGCTCCATTATTTAACTTTTTTGCCGTACTTGCCGTAGGTCGTCATTTAAAGGTCGCTCCATTAATCAACTTTTTTGCCGTACTTGCCGTAGGTCGTCATTTAAAGTTCGCTCCATTAATCAACTTTTTTGCCGTACTTGCCGTAGGTCGTCAGCTCGAAGTTGTGATCGTCGACGAAGGAGAGCTGCGTGCACCGCTGAGCGTCGTCCTGCGACAAGACGATCACCCAGTCTTTCTTCGTCTTCAGCTGTAATAAATTTATTTGTTTATCATAGTTTATCTTTTGTTAAAGTATTTATTAAGTGTCAGTAATGATCGTCTACAGCTGGAATAAATTTATTTATTTATCATAGTTTATCTGTTGTTAAAGTATTTATTAAAGGTCAGTAATGATATTCGTACCTATAAAATGTGGTAACCAGATTTACCGTTAGTTGGAGGATGGTAAACACTATATTTTTCGATTCATTTGATATCGTCTAAAGGAATTTTCATGGTCTCAAAATTTTATCTTAGCACTCGCATCGAACCTGACCTCATTAACCCTGTCATCTACCCACCTCATTAACCCTGTCATCTACTCACCTCATTAACCCTGTCATCTACTCACCTCATTAACCCTGTCATCTACCCACCTCATTAACCCTGTCATCTACTCACCTCATTAACCCTGTCATCTACCCACCTCAATAAACCCTGTCATCTACCCACCTCATTAACCCTATCATCTACTCACCTCATTAACCCGATCATCTACCCACCTCATTAACCCTGTCATCTATTCACCTCATTAACCCTGTCATCTACTCTACTCATTAACCCTGTCATCTACCCACCTCATTAACCCTATCATCTACCCACCTCATTAACCCTGTCATCTACTCACCTCATTAACCCTNGCAGGAATAAATAGTGATATTAGTACGCAGTGGCACTGAATTTTGAAGTACAAATAAATAAAGACTAAAATTATCGAAGCGCTTTTCCTCAACACAAAGCGGCAATTCTATGATTTTGTTAGTAATTCTTATCCGAAAAGTTGTACTACATTTGGCAAAGTATGGAGAAGAAGTGTGATCACAACCTTGCCTTGGAAAGCATTCAAGTGAATTTATTAGATTGAGTCTTAAGCCTGTTGAACCTGTCTTAAATTTTTTTTTAGGCGATCTAGGAACAACAAAATCTAACCGTGTTCAACTGTAGCGGTGGCACTTCAAGACAGTTAAAACTAGAAAAACTTAGAGAAGTACGGTAACAAGTTTCTGCTACATATTTTGATCTTAAATTATATAAACTCTTTGGAAATAATCATCGAGTTTGTTAGAAATGTCGATCTTTTTTCTTCTCGTGACTAAATTTTGGTCAACACAAAAGCCAAACAATCTTTTGGACGTGTTAAGGTTTTTTCACAAGTCAGTTTAAGAAAAACTGAAGTACTTTTATTCAGCTTCCGTTTTAACAACAATCTCTTGGACTTGTTAAGGTTGGTTTAATTTTTTTCACACGTTGATTGAGAAAAAATGAAGAACCTGCACACAGCCTACGTTTTAATTTACATCTATGAACCACGTAAACAATATAACTTCGCCTGAAGTGTGCATACTCCACACAATGAATCGCAATATTATTTGTCTGACTTGCTGACTATGACCAACTAACCTGCTATCTGTGACAAACTATGACCAACTAACCTGCTACCTCTGACCAACTAAACCAACTAACCTGCTACCTCTGACCAACTAGACCAACTAACCTGCTACCTCTGACAAAGTATGACCAACTAACCTGCTACCTCTGACAAACTATGACCAACTAACCTGCTACCTCTGACAAACCATGACCAACTAACCTGCTACCTCTGACAAACTATGACCAACTAACCTGCTGCCTGTGACAAACTAACCTGCTACCTGTGACAAACTATGACCAACTAACCTGCTACCTGTAACAAACTATGACCTGTGACAAACTGTGACCAACTAACCTTCCACCTCTGACAAACTATGACCTGTGATAAACTGTGACCAGCTAACCTTCCACCTCTGACCAACTATGACCAACTAACCTGCCACCTCTGACAAATTATGACCAACTAACCTGCTACCTGTGACAAACTGTGACCAACTAACCTGCTGCCTGTGACAAACTGTGACCAGCTATCCTTCCCCTTCTGGTTCAACTGCTGGAATGCCGAGCAGGTTTCCGGCGGCAGAGCAATAGCTCGTCGTATGATTGCAGGTGACTTGTAAAAAAACGTGTTCTTCGAAATGCAGCTCATATGGAGGCTTTTTTTTTTTGTCCAGAAAATTCCCCTCCTTTATAGTAGCGTTCATTAAAGCTGTCTTTAGTCGTTCTGCACGTGACCCTAATGTTAAATGTGTTTCTTTAAATAAATTCAAATTGAATTACTTAAACTTCTAAAAATTGAAAACCCTAATGTTAAATGTGTTTACTTTAATTTAACTTACTTTTTAAATGTTACTAAATTCAACTTAAATTACTAAAGATTGAAATGTAAGACTAATAAAAAATATTCATTCGCGTTTAGTTGCCAGAACATGAATGATTCATTTACAACTGATCATTAAATACAAGTGAAAAAAAGTTTGAGCAGCAGTATAAAGTTGTTTTATTGTTCAACAATTCACGTTTATCAACTCAGTGCGATGTAAATTTTGTTCAATCACTGTTCTGTAGCTTATATCAAAGAGCGTCGATGTACATATCTCACGTTCTCATTATTTCATCCATTTATGTTCATCAATGTCTACTTTTTTACTACAACTGAACGATTTTATGGGCGCTGCCTCCACGGGACATTACCACATAAGAAGCTTGCACACAAATCAGGGATCAGATTTTGAACGCAAAAAATTGTTGAAAATTTATACGTTCGACGATTGCTCGAAGCTACTGCAAGAGTACTTATTTTGGAGCAGGTGTACCTACTTTTGTACAGGTGTATCTTTATACTTTAGAGCAGATTTACTTACTTAGGAGCAGATGTACTTACTTAGGAGAAGGTGTACTTACTCCTGTACAGGTGTATCTGTATACTTTGGAATAGATGTACTTACTTTAGAGTAGATTTACTTACTTAGGAGCAGGTGCACTTGCTCTTGTACATGTGTATCTTTATACTTTGGAGTAGATGTACTTACTTTAGTACAGGTTTATCTGTATACTTTGTTGCATGTGTACAATCTCGTCTTCAGGTCTCCTCCATCGCTCGCAACTGGTCGCAAAAGATATGGAATATAATCAGTCTATGTGAACTTACTCCACTGACATTGTAATTTTCAAATCGTTAAAATACTTTATATCTGCTGGAATTTATTTACCTTTTATAATTAATCCAATTAATTTTTCTGATTAGAATAGTTAGCGTTGCAACACTGGTCCTGTACGGACATGTTCCCGATGCTCGCTAAATTCTTGGTATTCGAGCCATAAATTCATAAGAAATTCCGACTTTTTTCTTAAACATCACATGCCATAATGTCGACGGCCGAGTCAAGGACGATCATGTAGGGAACCCGCGAGCGCTACGCATGTACAAACGCGTAAAAAAATTGAAATTTTCAGCGTATTTTCCCTATAACTTTTTACCTTGAATTTTTTGGTTCCGCTGGGCAGCTGATGAAGTTTCGGTTATTGCTTTTTCTTTTGGATTTATGTGATTTAATAATTAATTCACATTGGTCATGTAGTGTTGCGAATTTAATTTTTTTGTGAGGTTAATGTGTATACGATGAATAATATTGCAATCTAGTCTACAAAAGAACTGATCTTATATGCATCTGATTTTCTATGTTTTATGTTCATCTCTTTGAAATAATAATTTTCTCAATGCGAATGAAAATGGAATTCTGTTCGACGGATAGAGTTTCGTTTAACGAAGAGTCAAATTTTCACATAGAATGATTCGTCAAATTAATTCAATATCATTATTATATCAATAACCAATTTATAGTTAGTATGCGTAACCTTTAGATTTTGTCGTCCAAGCCGCGAAAAAATTGTGTTTTTCTGAATTTCGAAAATGTTTTTTTTATTTGCAGCAATGAAAACGATAAATAAAATCGCGTGTAGAGTCTACTATTATGTGTGTTTTAAAAGTTCACAATTGAATTCTAATTAAAAATTTTCGTGTAGAAATTGTGAGAACGTTTAACCATATTTTCAATTGTAGTTTGAAACATTTCTAGGAAACATAATTTTTTTATTCTTCAAACTTTACTAGACTAATCGAAATGTAAACGATTTGAAAAAAATTAGTAAAAGAGGTCAACGTCGGGTAATAAATACTTAAAGGTTTCTATATTTACTAAACTATCATACTTCATAATCATACTTTCTTGTTACTGGCTTCCCAGTGAAGTTCATTTGATTGTGTATAAGTTGTGCAATAACTTTGCTGTAACCGAATTAATTTTATTTTTGAATGATAACGTCTTAAAACCTGAACAAATAACATTAATGAATAATCTTACAGGATGAACATAATAATATAAAATGATGAACATAAAAATATTTCTGCATAAAACCTTCCTTTGGTGTCTCGGCAACCAACAGCTCGTACTTCGTTTTTTTTGAGTACATGTAACATTCTGTGTACGTACACCGTGCAGTTGTGTACGTAGTTATGATGTACGTACACCGTGCAGTTGTGTACGTAGTTATGATGTACGTACACCGTGCAGTTGTGTACGTAGTTATGATGCACTCATACATACACCGCACGAAAGATAAGCTTGGAAATATATAACTATCAAGATTAGATGCAGGGAATGTAAACCAACCAAATTCAAATTGTATCAATTAAGCGCATTGGTTTAGCTGTGCACGCGTATCTTATCAAGTGCGAATGTTTTCATTTTCTGCATTAACTTGTTATCTTGTTTATATATTAACTTGTTATATATTAACTTGTTAATCGACGTGGGGAGCTTAATGCTACTTACAATCTCATCCTGATTATATCAATTTAGGATAAATTATAACTTTAACATCACCAATAGCTTAATTCTTGAGTGGATATGATGATTTAAAATTGGTTATTAATTTAATTAGGATTTATATGCCTTGCATTTTTTCCTTAGTTATGTTTTTCCTAAGCGTATGAAGTGCAATTCTGAACTCCATCAAAAATTAGGGTGTATTTCATTATTTTATATTGACAAAAACCATTCAATTACAACGTTAAATTATTATTATTATAAAACTGTTTTTGAATTTATTTTCTATTTTTCGTCCTAATTCTTATTATAAAATTGTTTTTTAATACAAAAGAAATTAGAGGAATATTTCCTTTGAGTGCAAATTCTCTTTTGAGCAGGATGTAAAAAAAATCATTTTATTAGCGTTAATTATAAATCATTAATTTATTACAGATAATTAAATACAAAAACATATTAAAAGGAATGTTCACAGCGTCGTCATGAAGCAAACACATCATAAAATGGAATACATTGACTAGGTATGTTACATACGTTTTAAAAATTTTATCTTATAACAACTGATATGAATAATTGATAAGTCTAGTTACATTCCTCTTTATATTTTCGAATATGAACAATTAAAGAAAGAATCTAAATAAATAATATAAACGCTGGAATGTACAACTTTGTATAACGAAATATTTCAACGTATTTATGACAACAAATAATTCATATTAAATTATTCTACAAACAAACTACCATTAGGACAACAAAATTCACAACACGCACACTAAAACTTATTTTAATAGACTGGCAACCAAAGACTATGACATAATTGCTATTTACTCTAATAATAAGTATAAATCACGTGTTGAATATAGCGACGCATCATACAAACGAGACCAAAACTGGAGACATTATTTCTATCACTTGCACAATAACTTTTGGAATGGTCCCGATTTTATGCGGAAAATGCTAACATAATTACTAACAAATAGGAAAGCAAGCCTAAAGTATGCTAGTAGTTACTTTACTATTTATATTAGTCAAATGTAACGAAAGACGATCAGATCCTCTCATGAACTCACGTTCGCTAATATTTTTATTACGCAAGAAACCAGTGCTTCAAAATGAATATATATACCTACTATAAAAACTAACGTGTTCAGTCCATAACTACCCTACGTTGGAGCAAACATGATGTTTCAATTCGAGTTTACCGGGATTCTATAACCTAATAAAGAAACGAATAATTTACCTGAAGACTCACAATTGCTACACAATCAATCACAATTGCAATTAATCTATATTGCCCTCAGATGGAACACACTTGGGTTCTTGTTCTGCGGACTGAGGAGAAGTGTCGTCTAGACCTACAGTTTTGTTACACTTCCGGACGCCTTCGTCGTCCTTCGCATCTCCGAGCTCCGGGAAGAGTTCCTCGACTACTTGGTCGAGTAGGACGTACGATAGCTGCAGGCAGGGTAAGAAAATGTCATCAGTAACTCCACTACCTGGTCGAGCAGGACGTACGATAGCTGCAGACAGGGTAAGAAAATGTCATCAGTAGCTTCACTACGTGGTCCAGCAAGACGTACGATAGCTGCAGGCAGGGTAAGAAAATGTCAACAGTAGCTCCACTACTTGGTCGAGCAAGACGTACGATAGCTGCAGGCAGGGTAAGAAAATGTCATCAGTAGCTCCACTACTTGGTCGAGCAAGACGTACGATAGCTGCAGNCTGCTTGTTAAGCTACTTAACTAACCTGCTTGTTAAGCTACTTAACTAACCTGCTTGTTAAGCTACTTAACTAACCTGCTTGTTAAGCTACTTAACTAACCTGCTTGTTAAGCTACTTAACTAACCTGCTTGTTAAGCTACTTAACTAACCTGCTTGTTAAGCTACTTAACTAACCTGCTTGTTAAGCTACTTAACTAACCTGCTTGTTAAGCTACTTAACTAACCTGCTTGTTAAGCTACTTAACTAACCTGCTTGTTAAGCTACTTAACTAACCTGCTTGTTAAGCTACTTAACTAACCTGCTTGTTAAGCTACTTAACTAACCTGCTTGTTAAGCTACTTAACTAACCTGCTTGTTAAGCTACTTAACTAACCTGCTTGTTAAGCTACTTAACTAACCTGCTTGTTAAGCTACTTAACTAACCTGCTTGTTAAGCTACTTAACTAACCTGCTTGTTAAGCTACTTAACTAACCTGCTTGTTAAGCTACTTAACTAACCTGCTTGTTAAGCTACTTAACTAACCTGCTTGTTAAGCTACTTAACTAACCTGCTTGTTAAGCTACTTAACTAACCTGCTTGTTAAGCTACTTAACTAACCTGCTTGTTAAGCTACTTAACTAACCTGCTTGTTAAGCTACTTAACTAACCTGCTTGTTAAGCTACTTAACTAACCTGCTTGTTAAGCTACTTAACTAACCTGCTTGTTAAGCTACTTAACTAACCTGCTTGTTAAGCTACTTAACTAACCTGCTTGTTAAGCTACTTAACTAACCTGCTTGTTAAGCTACTTAACTAACCTGCTTGTTAAGCTACTTAACTAACCTGCTTGTTAAGCTACTTAACTAACCTGCTTGTTAAGCTACTTAACTAACCTGCTTGTTAAGCTACTTAACTAACCTGCTTGTTAAGCTACTTAACTAACCTGCTTGTTAAGCTACTTAACTAACCTGCTTGTTAAGCTACTTAACTAACCTGCTTGTTAAGCTACTTAACTAACCTGCTTGTTAAGCTACTTAACTAACCTGCTTGTTAAGCTACTTAACTAACCTGCTTGTTAAGCTACTTAACTAACCTGCTTGTTAAGCTACTTAACTAACCTGCTTGTTAAGCTACTTAACTAACCTGCTTGTTAAGCTACTTAACTAACCTGCTTGTTAAGCTACTTAACTAACCTGCTTGTTAAGCTACTTAACTAACCTGCTTGTTAAGCTACTTAACTAACCTGCTTGTTAAGCTACTTAACTAACCTGCTTGTTAAGCTACTTAACTAACCTGCTTGTTAAGCTACTTAACTAACCTGCTTGTTAAGCTACTTAACTAACCTGCTTGTTAAGCAGCGGGTGCTACTTAACTAACCTGTTAGTTAAGCAGCGGGTGCAGCTTAACTAACCTGCTAGTTAAGCTACTTAACTAACCTGTTTGTTAAGCTACTTAACTAACCTGCTAGTTAAGCTACTTAACTAACCTGCTTGTTAAGCTACTAAACTAACCTGCTTGTTAAGCAGCGGGTGCTGCACCAGGTTCACGAGCGTGTTGGCGCCCTCCCTGTAGCTGTCATCGTCCACCAGCGCCCTCGTGCCCCAGGGCGGCAGCAGCGCCAGCACCGCCGCCCGCAGCTCTAACTCCCGCCGCCGCCGTGCTGAACTCGAGCGCTCAGCTCCAGGCTCGATCAACGCGTCTGAGATAAACGGTAACTTAGTTACGTTAACGTTAATTACGAGTAATGAAGCTTTTAACCGGTATATACCAACGTTAATTACGAGTGATGAAGCTTTTAATAAGTATATACCATCGTTGACACTCTTTTGTGCGTTCATTATTTTGTTGAACTTGAGCGCTCAGCTCCAGGCTTGATCAGCGCGTCTGAAATGTACGGTAACTTAGTTACGTTAACGTTAATTACAAGTGATGAAGCTTTTAACCGGTATATAATATCATTGTCACTCTTTTGTGCATTCATTATTTTGTGTGTGTGTTGATAACTACTATATCAACGCGTCTGAGATGAACGGTAACTTAGTTACGTTAACGTTAATTACGAGTGATGAAGCTTTTAATAAGTATATACCATCGTTGTCACTCTTTTGTTCATTCATTATTTTGTTGGTGTGTAATTAATGTACTAGAGTTTGTTCATGATAATGGGTGCAGCTGTCACTCTATCATGACTCAGCTGTCATGTGTCACTCTATTGTGCATTCATTATTATGTTGATATCATTATTTTTTGGTTAATTTACTATAGTTCTGCAGCATAGTTTGATAATAATTAATTGTTCAAAAATGATTATATGCTCACCTCTGAGCAGGTGTATGAGCCTGACAAGGTTGTGTGGGGTGAGGGCGGCGCTAAGCTTCCTGCTAATGAGCAGCATCAGCGCCGCGTCGACGGTGGCACCCACGACGCTGCGCAGCGCAACCAACCACCGCACCGCCCCAACGCCCAGGCCGTACACCCGCACACCTGTTGGGGAGGATGGCTTAGAAAAGGGGACGTGTGGCTACACTACGGTTGTGATAGCAACGGAGGCGTGGCCGCACTACGACTGTCGTAACAAAGGAGGCGTGGCCACAGTGCGGTCGTCATAGCAACGAAGGCGTGGCCACAGTGCGTCGTCATGGCAACGAAGGCGTGACCACACAGCGGTCGTCATAGCAACGGGGGCGTGGCTACACCACGGTTATCATTGCAACGGGGGCGTGACTATACCACGGTTACCGTAACAACGAGCAACACCGTCGTCATAGCAACATGAATTGGCTACAATGCAGTCATGCATTCTTCATGGTTACAGGGAATGACTATACTACGGTCGTCATGGTAACAGGGAGTGTTCAACATTACGGTTGCCACAGCAACGTCGGTGTGGTAACAACATTTCACACGGGTCCGTCACACGTGATTCACCACACGCCACACACCCTGCCACAAGCCACACGCCTCACGCCACACCCCTCATGCCACACGCCTCACGCCACACACCTCACGCCACACGCCTCACCAATGAACAAAATCATCTCGGTGATGCCGGTGCAGGTGAAGACGGCAGACGGGGGCGGTGACGGCAGGCACTGGGCGGGGGGCGGTGACAGGGAGCGCGCGTTGTCGCCGTACAGGCGCGTGTGTAGCGGGTACAGCTCTTCTGTGCCGCAGCCGCCCTCGCGCGCCTCCGTCGCCTCCTCCAGGCTGTCGCTCCTGCAGGTAAAGCGAGAGTTATGGCCTGGTAAAGGTGGAATACCGGAGCTGAAAGTAAAAAAATATAACTCAGTACTCACTGCAGTGAGTGACAGAGAGCACATTTTCTCGTCGACGAAAACTTGAGGTCACGGACGGACAGACAGACGGACAGACAGACAGACAGACAGACAGACGGACATGGCGAGCACACTAGTGCATTTTTTCCATAAATGAGAAAATGCGCTAAAAAATAAAACTTCGAAGCTGAAAGTAAAATTTTGGAACTCCAGTTCTGAATATGTGAAGAACTACACATTACTATACAGGATAAACCCTAAAAAAATTAAGAGACTTTGTCTGAATAGCGACTATAGCGTGGACTTTGAGACTTTGTCTAACACGACAATCAACTCAAAATTTTTATTGCGTTTATTTGTATCAACTTGCTAATTACAGTAGTAACGAAAATTCACTTTGAAAATTTATTTATTAAAAGCATGTATCTTTACTGACAATACGTTTTTTCTTAATGAGAAAAAAATATTCTTTCTACTAGAGTTTCATTTTTGACTTTCTTATCCAGTTTTGAATCATAATCAAAACAATCTGGTGATTGCTTAGAGCTGCAACGAATATTGTTAATCTTCACTCATCTAGAATTGAAATTTGCATAAACTAAACGAAAGCTTTCATAAAAACTCAAACTGATGATGAAATGTTTAAATTAATCAGAAAATGTTACCTATGCAGAAAGAACTGAAAGAAATAAACCAGAAAATTTATCAACTTAGACCAAAGAATGAATTGAGGAAGTGGAAGAGAAGATAAAACGGACCACAAATGATGCGATATTGACATCGAAACAAAAATTTTACCAATGCGCAAAGGAAAATAGAACCAGAATACAAATCAATATAAAAAAAATGAAAAATACGCAGAAAATGATTAAAAATAAAAACTAAATAATAAAACAAGAAGAAAAATAACGTTCCGAGTTCATTGACTGACTTGCTGCCGAGCGCAGCAGGCATGAGAGGGCCGGCAGACTGCAGGAAAAGTTCAATGAAAGGCTCGATAAAAATAAAAACTAAATAATAAAACAAGAAGAAAAATAACTTTTTGAGTTCATTGACTGACTTGCTGCCGAGCGCAGCAGGCATCAGAGGGCCAGCTGACTGCAGGAAGAGTTCAATGAAAGGCTCGAGGTGTTGCCCTCTCTCTTTGACGAGCTTGCGAGGCACGTCTCGCAGCAGACGTCCCAGAGACACGTCAGGTAAGAAGCTCGACGTGAACTCGTCTTTGGATTTCAGGAAAAGAAACAAGAGCTGAGAGCGTCGTAGCGCGGGCGTTTGAAGCAGCTTCTGTAGGTACTCTTCGAAAATCTGCGGCAATTTCAGAAAAATTATAGAAATGATGAGAATAGATAATAATATGCGATATATGACACGGCTTCCATAGGAAAAAATATAAAGTTTGAAAAGATCGTGGAAATTATTGAGAAAATTAAGCAATTTCTAGAGAAATTTTAAAGAAGAGAGATTATATTTAACCTGCTACTTTTTATGAATACCTCATATATAGAAATATTCTATTTGATGAACTGAAAATGCACTCAGATAAAAATATTACATTCCCGACAAAGAAACGGAGTTTCCAGTCATTAAATTGAAATATTTCAGAATTGAACGGAAATATTCCATACATTGTAACAGCATGTTCCCGAGATAAAAGTGTGAACATTGCTGACAATGAAGAGGAAATAGCGTGACCTGTCTGCGTGTGAGCATGAAGTCGCTAGCGTGTGAAGGCGTGAAGAGTGAGCGGCGTGAAGGTAGCGTGTTGTACTGAAACTCTCCATGGAACTCCGTCAGTTTGCTCTCCAGGATGTAGAACTCGTGGAAGCGTCTCAGAACCTCCCAGTGAGTCTCTTCGCAGCCCTCCGCTGAAATTAAACGCTATTTTGTATTTATCAATAGATAACTTAACGTCGTAAATGCTATTCATACCTAAGGCCTGGTTGTGAGAGTTACCATTATTAAACAATAAACAAAGTTAGCGCACTTTTTCTATAAATATATGAACCGTCTCCCAAGCTATTCATACCAAAGGCCTGGTAATGAGAGTTACCATCATTAAACAATACACAAAGTTAGCGCACTTTGTCTATAAATATATTAACCGTCTTCCAAGCTATTCATACCAAAGGCCTGGTAACGAGAGTTATACCATCATTAAAAAATAAACAAAGTGTGCACGCTTTGTTTTTAAATATATATTAACCGCCTTCCAAGCTATTCGAACTAAAGACCTGGTAATGAGAGAATAAACAAAGTATTAGTGTATTATTGGTATTAATTCTTGTATTATCTCGTACAATAATTCCCAAAAATATTGGTTTCAAATATAATGTAAAATCTAAATTAGATTCACCCTGAACTTATCTGTGATATTCAATTAATATAGAAAATAGCTGGCAAAATGACTTCTTTTGAAACAACGCAAAAAAGCAACGTACGGTACAATGAATGCACTATGGTAGTTTAATAATTAATAGCATTCAAGATGACAGTAATGGTACCGTCTCTGGTGACGTCTATGCTGTTTTAAAACACCGAAAATAAACCACTATGGTAGTTTAATAAATAATAGCANCTGAGGCACAGCAGCACTGAGGCACAGCAGCGCTGAGGCACAGCAGCACTGAGGCACAACAGCACTGAGGCACAGCAGCACTGAGGCACAGCAGCACTGAGGCACAGCAGCGCTGAGGCACAGCAGCTCTGAGGCACAGCAGCGCTGAGGCACAGCAGCGCTGAGGCACAGCAGCGCTGAGGCACAGCAGCACTGAGGCACAGCAGCGCTGAGGCACAGCAACTCTGACTCTGGCCCTCATATATAATAACTCTGACTCTGGTCCTGACTCTAATAACCTTATTAGTAATGACTTATTATTACTTATTATTACTTATTACTTATTAGTAATGACCAATACTAGGCCTATGAAAGCATTGGTTATTTGTTATAACTGCCTAAGTGAAGAGGCCATAAAATACCAGTAATGAAGTGATAAGAAATAAATATTTCACTTATAGTTAGTTCACTGCTCCTTTAAAATTGTCATTTCCTTCAAATAAATGCATTATTAAAATTTCCGAACTTAGGAACTACGCGCACTAGCAACGGATTTAAAAATATTACAAAACATATTGGTAGGGCAAATGAATGATTCGAGCACACTTAATGTAAACAATAAATAAGTTATGTTTTCGGCAGCTTACACACGTCGGTTTACTATTAAAGTAATGGTAGAAGACCCGATAATAAAGGCAAAAAATTACATGAATACTTAAGTGTAGGCTGCAAAAAGTTCATTTGCCCTTCCCAGGAGAAGCTGTAATTATTATTCGATTACGGAAAGCTAGGTATAGAATGGAACATGCACGCAACACCAACGTGATCATAGACAATAAATATCAGACCAAAATAAACAAATGCTTACTAATAATCAATCTCGGGACGAAAGTATTAAAGATAATTCTTATATCCATATCATTTCGAAATTCAAAATGTTTTATGCGATGCAGAACAAAAGTAGTAAGTCCAAAAGGAATGAAAATGAAAATATATTCAAAACATATGACAACACTACACCGATGTGATAACAATCGCCGAGAAGACAATTGATGACAAGGAGCAATGTTCGTGTGCTGTTAGTGACTCGGGCGCTTGAGCGAAAACTAAAAGAATGTATCAGTCGAGCCACAGTCGTGCTCGCGAGATGAGTATGGGACTTAGGAGATGAGTATGGTGCTTAGAATATAAGGGTTGGGTTTTTCGCCGACTAGGACTAAAAGATGACCATGAGATAAAAAACAGTACTCAATCGAAATTCAGTAGCAATATACATGTATAACTATGCTTCATTAAAAAAATCAAGTTTAAATCAAATGTTAAACTTTCAAGATATCCATGCGAGTCAAACATATGCAATGCCTTATTTTCAACGCCAAATAATCATGAAAGAGTATCTTTCTACATGAAACTAACAAGTAGTCGCACCAAAAAAGCTTACCTTGGTCGTAGATGGTCTAGAATGGCGATGCATCTCTATACNATGTGTATAAGAGACAGATCTAACACCATACCTGATCAGCGTATGAGCCAGCCTCTTCAGGTGCTTCCTCTGAAGTGTAAAACGCAGGCCGACCACCAAACCCTCGCTTAAAATTGCCGTATCTAACACCATACCTGATCAGCGTATGAGCCAGCCTCTTCAGGCGCTTCCTCTGAAGTGTAAAACGCAGGCCGACCACCAAACCCTCGCTTAAAATTGCCGTATCTAACACCATACCTGATCAGCGTAAGAGCCAGCCTCTTCAGGCGCTTCCTCTGAAGTGTAAAACGCAGGCCGACCACCAAACGTGAGGTCTTCGTTGCCAGCAACAACTTGCGGCCTGATCATCGAGGCTCCGAACGTCTTGAGACTCCGGCCTACACTGCCGACCCTCTGCACGACACCGCGACTCAGAGAGCTTCGGTTGTTTGCACCGGTGGATTTGTTGATGCTGTTGGTGCTTGGGCTTTTGCTCCTATTGAGCAAACCTAGTCCGTTGATGTTACCCAAATCATCCGAGTCCAAACCAACTTTTTCCGTATTTTCAGAGCTGAAACTCTTCACAAGTCCCCCGTTCTCTAAAGTGTATTTCACAGCACCAGAAAACTCAGGTCCACGGTCAAAGAAATTAAAGTTGCCGCCGTAGCTCGAGCTGCGAGTGTGGCCGAGTGTGGCTGATGTCGTGGTCTGATGCTCAGCAATTTCTGGTCGCCGCAAAGATGATTTTCTCGACGAGAAGAACGAGCTGCCTGAGGACATGTCTTCGTCCTTGCTTCTTCCAGGTCAAGAAAACAAAAAAGAAATAAACGATATGTGCATAGAGCAAATAAAATGAATGATAACAAAAAAATACACAGCAGCAAAAAAATATTCATGATGCGGGTGACGAAAACTGCGCTAAGCCTGAAAAAGATACGAGGGCGAGTGATGAAAGAATAAGTTCAAGTGGAACAAACAGGAAAGAAGAGGCAGTAAATTCATACATAATGTAAAGGTGAGTATGCCTCAAAAACGTGCTATTTTTGTGCAAAAACGAGCAGCTAGTATTTACAAGTAAACATAACGTATGTACAAAATATGCATCGGCCGCAACATTCTCATGCCAGAATCACACAAATTAAGTTAAATACGAAACAAGATTTTAATATTCTGGGAAACTTAGCTCGACGTCGTGAGATGCGAAGCATGCTTCGTTTTTACTACGTATGTTATAACTCTGCATTATTTTTAAGGCTGATTATTCATGGGTAAAGTTAAGTTAATAAAACGGTTAAAATTAGGTAACTGAACTCTTCGCCCGACGGAAGTGAATGTGACAACCAATTTCGAGAGGCAAATACAGATAAAAGAAAACATATTTAGCTAACAAGATAGAATAAATCAAGAAGTAGGTACGTCGAAAACTTTGAATTTTGTGATGGATAACTTCAGATCCCGAAAGTATCACGTTCTCAGAGTTCTTTTCAGAGCACCACCCTTGCTCAAGTACTAACCACGACACCTATCATACCCCCGACCATCAGCAGCACCAAGAAATTTAACGAGTTTACCAAGGCTCGAACCCACGTCTAGCTCCTCTCAACTCTGTGCCGTTACTACTGAGCTACAAAGGCTCCAGTGATGACGCTAAACAAGCTCTCTAATTTCTTTTCGTTTAAATTTCGATTTCGTTCAATTTAATTTAATGGATAGAAAGAATCCATGTTGGATACAATAGTTGCAAATAAAAATGTGCATAAACCCTGAACAAGGCAGACCACAAAACGACACTCATGGAAGTTGATTTATAAGTGGAATAACAATGGCAAACAATAATTTCAATAGAATTGAATATGGCAGCGAAGAGAAAACACATACAAGCAGCATGACACAGGGGAACGAATTTATCAAAAATCTACACAAAATGCTAACGAAATAATATATATAAAATTAGTTTTCTTCCCATGATCAACCTTGGTTCTCTTCGCATTCGAATCCACGGATTTAGTGTTTAATAGCGACTTACTATAAATTGTGAAGAAACCTCAGCTCCAGGCTGTGCTCAAACACTCGATAACACTTTTTTTTTATAACAAAAACAGCGATGCTCGTTTCAGCAAATGTCATGCAAACTTAAATAATTAATATCAATCGCTTTTCAGTAGGTGCTTTATGTACATCAATCGCATTCAGGAAATTATTATATTTACATAGGAGAAAGCCATGCATTATTTAATACAGTAGAGATACAAGTGCAGAACCTGCAGCCTGCTGATGCGAGTCTTGAACGGAGAGAAGGTGGCCGATGAACTCGAGTCTGTTCGACGATGTCTGACGTCCAAAAGTAAGTGAAGTGAACACAAGATGTTAGTGAACGTCAGTGCTTTTTTATACGTTAACTCTCGTGCAAGTTTATTAGTGAACACTTGCTGTTCGTGCGAGTTAGTGCTCAAATAGGAAAATGTAGGCATATTAGTCACAATATATTTGGCCAGAAAACACAGGCGTTTACTTTGAATAGAATTACTTGCTCAAAATTGATGTCGCTACAAGGAGAAAGTTCTCTCCGAATAGAAATGTAATTTGATGATGTTCAATTTATATTAATTAGATGAGCAAGAAATTCAAACATACAAGACGGCACGAGAAGTTTATTCTGTTGCCGTTATCGATAGAGTAGCATTTTATTGTTTCAGTCCCAGCTGCTAAAGTTTTTTTTCCTAGTCGGTCTATAAAAAAACATTTAGTACTGTTTAGGATCGCGCATGGATCTGCTTATGTAGTTTGAAAATTTTTAAAAAGTATTCAATCTGGTTGTTAGTTGCTAATTTATTTCGTTGATAAGATGTATTATTTCTATTGAAAGACGTAAACTGAAGTACAGTGGCGACAGCGTTATCAGGCGTGAATGCGGCTTCAGTTAACGATATATGGATAACTGAACAAAATATATAGTACCTCATTTGTTTACCTATAGATTGAAAGCAAAATTCGCTCACATACGAGAAATCATTGTCTATAGAAACTTACTTCAACATTAATTATTTAAGTTTAATTTAAAGTATCTAATGAATTCAAATTAGATACTTTAATTTCACATCCGATAACATGTGTGCTTCTCATTTCAAAAATTGAAATAGCCACAGTTCTGATACTAGAGCTGAATACAGCACAAAATATTATTTAAAATGCAAGTTAGAATAATCATTTTAACACTGAAAAAATTGCATCTGACGATGATGCAGTCGCCCTTGCAGCGATGAAGATTATGGCCACGATTGGCCATTCGCTCATTCTAGATACTGCAGAAATTACACTTCTATTAAGAAGTTTAATTTCTTCTATTATTATTATTCTTTTCTGCAGAAATTACACTGCAGAAAATTCGAGCTGAGGCTCGAACCCACAAGTCACTGCGCAAATCTTTTGTCTTTTTAACAACAAGGTCAAGGTGCTTGTACACCGAGACACTAACAATTTCTCGTATATTGTCGTTTCATTAAAAATGTTTCGTCCCAATCATTCATATTGCTTTGCTAATAACATTCATGTTATTTCGTCGAAATCAATTAAAAATTTCCATCCGTGACATTCACACTATTTCATTTCATTCATTTATTTTCGTAAAAATCATTCATTTTTTTTGTCCATTTCATTTGTCCATTTCATTTGTCTCATTTTGTCCAAATTATTAATATGTTTTCGATTTTCATTCACTTTCATCTGTTCAAATCATTCATATATTTTCATCCATATCATTCATATTCAGTTAAAAATTCATTATCTGTCGTAAATGCTGAGAATAAAAGGACAATTTCCAATTTCCCTAGCAGACCTCACCTGCTAGAGGATTTTTGGCAGCCTTGGGAGCTTCGTGATCCACACAAATGAGCGAAGTACTGCAAAAAATTAAACATTATATTATTATATATTATATTAATGCAAACTTGAGGACAACATGAATGACTGAATATATAACCAGACCCCAATAATTGAGTTACGATCAAATATCAGTGAATCATCTGTGGAAAAAATATAACTCATTACTCACTGCAGTGAATGACAGAGAGCGCATTTTCTCGTCGACGAAAACGTGAAGTCACGGACGGACAGACAGACGGACGGACGGACGGACATGGCGAGCACAATAGGGCATTTTTCCAGAAATGAGAAAATGCGCTAAAAAGATGTAACTCACCATGTGGCTGTTCAGGAACAGTGGCAGCAACTGACCATGTGGCTGTTCAGGAACAGTGGCAGCTACTCACCATGTGACTGTTCAGGAACAGTGGCAGCAACTCACCATGTGGCTGTTCAGGAACAGTGGCTGCAACTCACCATGTGGCTGTTCAGGAACAGTGGCAGCCACTCACCATGTGGCTGTTCAGGAACAGTGGTAGGTATTCGCGCTCCAGTAAATTGTATGCAAATTCGTAGGCCTGGAAGAGCGGCCGTGTGGTGCGAAGCTTCACGATGGCCGAGGCCTCGCTGTGCACCACTGCAAAATCGCTGCATTAATTATTGCTGAAAAAAACGATTGGATAAGAAACTTTAAAAAGTAACACGAGTAAATGTAACAAGATTAATAACATTTCTGATGGCAAAAATGCTACAGAATTAAAAATTGTACAAATATCACGAGTAGAGATTACAGAAATTACAGCATAACTGATCGCAAAATAGAAAATAAGATACTGACCGCATTACCAGTTACGATTCAGTATTACTGATCGTAATACTGATCGCATTAACGATGGTAAAATAGAAGAATATCACGAGTAGAGATTGAAAATAAAGTACTTAAAAAAGCTTTTTAAAAAAACACGTTTTTCTTGTGGATTAAAAAGTAGAAAATAAATTATGGTTCGCCCCAAAAAAACGTGTGTCGGGCAGATTTATGATTAAAGCGAAAAGCACACAACACTTAAATTTTGGAAATTTGATGGTGAACGTACAGCCCGACCCACGTTTTTTTTTGGGGCGAACCATAATTTATTTTCTACTTTTTAGTCCACAAGAAAAACGTGTTTTTTAAAAAGCTTTTTTTAAGTATTTTATTTTCTACTTTTTAGTCCACAAGAAACACGATTAAAACTTGATTAAGTATGACTTGACGTACGTATCGATGATACGCAGCGTCAGCGCCTGCTCGTCTATAACGTCAGCTCCCGCACGTCATACTATATATACTATATTATACTTTACTCAATTAAACTAATTTAGGTTTCTAATTACTAGTTTTTATGATTGTATCTGAAATTGTTAGGCGAAAATAGCCTGCATGCCGAATTTCAGATCTCTAGAACAATCAGAAGTGGGCTAATTTTCGTTGTCAATGTTAACAATGCGCCGTTGGCCATGTAGCTGTGATACAAGTCCTGTGCCTCCCCATGCAGCGCCTGCAGCTCCCCACCACTCAGGTCAGGGTCCAGGATGTGGCGGTTGAAGTCCTCTGCTCACGATAAAAATATTAACTACTAAGGCAAGCGTGACCAACAATTGTTTGATAGGGAACTTTTCGATTGAACCCATTGAACAATTTCGATTGAAATCCTCTGCTCATGACAAAAATACATTAGCAACTCGGGCAAGCGTGACCAACAATTGTTTGATAGGGAACTTTTCAATTATTAGTTCTAACCATCTAATAAAACTGGCTTAAGTACACGTAACAGCCGATTTCTCGTCTCCATGATTGATGTGTTTAGTTTGAAAAGACGTCAGTGATTGACTGGCGGAATAACGAACTCTCAAATATTTTTGATAGCACGGTCTCTTGGCTGCAGTCCACAATCCCGCGACCTTGTTCAGTGATATTACAAATTTACCGAAGCCATTGTACAGTCGCACAGCCTAAAGGTAATCCTTTAAAGGTATACTAAAGGTATATGAAGGTAACACTACAACGCATTTAGGTAATAGCAGCTGGAAGTAATATTCAATTTATACTTGTGCATACGGTACAGTACATATATACTATAGTACTTGAGAATAGATTATAAGAGTTGCTTGCAAAAGACATTTAATATGTTTATTAATAAAATGGACATCAAAAGACGTTGCCGCTCCCAAAAGTGATAGTATAAGTGTAAGTCTGAACCGAATGACAGTAATGGCAGAAGCAAGCAAGTATATCCATCGAAATCTCAGTTTCTTCTTATACTTTTAATTGGTAGAAGACAAATATGTGAAAAAAAAATTAAGTAACTTTGCTTCCTACTCGAAAATACCAATAGCGAGGAAAAGGATGCGCTATTCTTACTAAATTGCAACGTCAAAGCCAAGTGATGATAAGAATTTGAATTTGACCTCATAAATAAACACATTCATTGGGGCTGACCAACTGCAAGGCAGAACTGCAGGATGTTGATGGCTGACTCTTCCTTGAGGAACGTGTGGAAGAGGTATAGCAGCGTCTGATCTTTCAGCACCGCAGACAGATTGTTGCGCAAACTCTGCAAAAATATTTGCAATATAGAGCCTGGTATTACACGCAGAAAAAAATTAGACTAAGACTAAATAGTGATGCATTTTCTGCACTTACATAGGTCATCCTGGGACCATACTTTCAAAACTCGCTAAGTGAACGTAAGTACTTACGTTCTTTTTTCTTGTCTATGATTGGTGGATTTTGCTTGAAAGGCTGTCAATGATTGGCTGATGAACTTACGATATCTAATCTTTTTTTGAAAGTATAGGACCAGATCTGTTTTGGCCCAGTAATAGGGCGTATCAGTAATACGCGAGCTCACTATTCGTGCTATGGGTAAGGAAGTGTGTGAATATTTGGAAAATATGATCCATTCATACTCCTGAGTAGTTAGCAACATAAGAATATTAGGGAAAAATACCTGGAATACAGACAGAGTATCCAGCCTGGAAACACATAAGTAATGATATACGTAGGGGACATAATAGAGTATATTTACACGTCCGAGAGCTTGTAAGGAATGATGTATAAAGCTCATGGGATTGTAAGTGTACGCCGGAGATAATGATACTTGACACTATTGAGACTATCATTGATCATTAATTACCAAATTCTAAGCCTTGATGTCACTCATAACTTCAATTACCGAGTTCCTAGGCAACGTGTTCACCGATGAAAAGCTCTTGAGCAGCAGCACGGGCTCGAGATCTTGCTCAGACCGGGACACACTGGAACCTCCATCTTTAATTTCTTGGGACTGGAGTTTTGGCTCCTGAATATGCGGTTTGTTCAGACCCTGAAGTGACGACAGCAGCAGCATTTGATTAAGGGAGTCTTGTCTTTGTTGTTGCTGGTGAAGGTAGTCAGGGTTTAGCAGCAGCAGGAGCAAGAGGTTCACAGTGTCGGGGTCAGCGAGGTAGTCCATTAACTGCAGCAGCAGGAAGCGGCCTAGCAACTCCTTCAGGAAGCTGTTCGTCACGCTGCAGATAAGCACACAAATATAAATTCAAGATGCTACAAAAACTTGAATTTAATCAACAAAAAATTTACGCAAGGCTTGTGATATAGAAAGAGAAGGTGGCGAAAATTTGACACCAAGCACACATGAAAGCAGATATAATAACCAATATATTTCATGTTAAAATCCAGAATAATAATATGGTATCAAATAGTAACACCTGAATAGTGTTAGGAACTAAAATAAAACTGACCTGCTACCCTGATACTTCTGTGGCAAGAGGAAAGTTTCGAGGGTTCGCACGAGGGACCTAAGGTACTGCGCCTCAGCTTCCCTGCTCTCCATGGCAGGGTGCAACCAACCCGCACGCCGGGTGTATTCCAGCACACCCGCCTCCACACCACCCGCCATCCTCACCCGCCGACCGCCCTCCACGTACTGATCCAAGTGCGAGAAAAGCGACGGCAGCAAACGCTCTGTGATCACTCGAGTCAAGTCAACCTGGAATATGGGAGCTGAGTTAAGCGTAACTGGACACGACACTGGCATCAGTATGTGCAAGTTTATCTGGAAAGCCGAAATTGAGTGAAGATAACTTGAAATGGAGGGCAGTCAGAAATGACGACATCAATAAATATAAAGTCAAAATAAAAAATTCCACATAAATAACATCTATTTAACCATCAAGATAATATTTCATGCCAATAAAACCAATGACAATGTTCTTAACATTACTTAACTTCACTTTCGGTCTTAGAACCAGTGAATTCGTCTCAATATCATTTTTACATGCATATGCAAACTGAATCTAGTAGTCTTGCAAATTCAGATATGAGGCTGTCTAACCATAACATATGCAAGACTCATTCAAACACAATCGGATCATGTTAATAGACCACTCGATATTGGATCATCTGTTCATTTCAAACCATATCCTTAGGGGTAAAAAAACCATCATCAATGAATCTTGTAAGCCAAACGATCGCGTCTTAATGCGGTCTGACACATCAGGATAAACTGTACCATGAAAAACCATTCGGGGATAACCTGTACCATTTATCTACAATTTATCAGTAGATTAACATGGTGTGATCTACAGTTTTTCTGCAGATTAACATAATGTAATTTATAGTTTGTCTGTACATTAACATAATGTGTTCTTCATTTTGTCTGTTGATTAACATAAGGTACTCTATGATTTGTCTGTAAATTAACAAAATGTGATGTACAGTTTGTCTGTAGATCACACTACAGTCATCCACAAACCTCTTGTAACCTGGCGTGCAGCACACACACGGCATATCTGATGACATAGCGCACTTCATCAGCTAGCTGGTCGTGCACAGAAAACTCCCTGTACCAGCTGTATACGTGCTCGTCCAGCACAAGAGTCAGCAACTGCACAAAAATTTTCCTTTCAGATTTTTCTTAAAATAAAAGCATATGGTAAATTTATGCAGGAGTGAGGTGTAAATCAACCGCAAGCATCAATAACAGCGCAAAAATAACACTATGAGATTGTAACTAAATAGAGGCAAGCACTTGATTATGCACAAAAATTATATATACCTGAGGAATTTTGAAAAACAATTCCAAATAGTACTCATATAGAAGTTTCTTTGAAAAGTAGGAATTACTTCAAAAAGTTATTAATCCTGTTACAAGTTTATATAAATGAGGCAATACAGCAATTAAATTGTCTGCACTATTTTACCACACTTTTAACAGAATCATGCAGAAATATACTAAAAGTATCTGACTACCGGTATATATTGTGCATCAGCCACACTTGGGGATACTGTGAAATTCAGAAGTCAAGCTCAGTGTTATTTACATCAACTCACATACACAGAGCACTGCTCCACAATGGAGGCACAAGCTTATTTTATGCAGACTAGACTATCATTATTAGCATAGTCTCTGCTGTTGTTGTTGTTCCTCCCTGCCTCACTCATAGTCATAGCATAGTCTCACCTCGTCGAGGGCATCGTCCACACAGCGAGGCACAGTGATGTGCACATGGGGATGGTGAGGGCCGGGGATAGGGGAGGCCAGAGAGGTGGGGAGCTGATGAGAGCACTGCTCCCCCCCACACACTGAACATGAGCGCCTTAGCTCCCGACGACGTTCCTCCCCAATATGTGAGTGCTCAGATCCCAGGAACACCACCAGCAAGTTAGGAACATGTTTACCTTCTCTGAAATTATATAAATTTTGGTTAATTGGGCTTGTGGGTTTAGTAGACTTCCAGTTAGTTAACCACAACAGGTTTAATAGAACACAGGTTGTTGGGACCAACTGCTAATATTGGGTACCAAATGATGTATGTACATAGCCCCATCTCATTTATAAAGACATGTTCATTACTAAATTAACTAATGATATTGGTGATATTGACTGGTACTGGGTTGACTGGGGGGTCAACTGAATATAGTATTCATCAACCAGATTTTCTGCAATATATATATATATACTAACTTTTGAAATATATTTTTTAGTACCATATATAAATATATCTTACAATAGGTCACATTTTCTAGTGCCTGCTAAACAAATTTGAATTCCTTATTAATTATTTTCATATCAACTCTCAAAAAAGTTGAAAACAATTACTGAACCTGTTACCTGAATATGAGGAATGGGACTAGAAGCCCAGCAGAGAAGGACAGCAGCACCACTACAGCAACCACAAAGCTGAAACAATTAATGCAATTAGAACATTTATAATAACAAATGTTTTTAGATGAAGGCTTTGATGGACTACATAGAGACCTGTCTGCATTAAATTGATCAGCAAGATCTGATAATGATCTACAGCCCAATCAAGAATCTGAGGCCCTGTGAATCATTTACAACCTCTATTTGGATTTATTAATGATCTATTAAACCAAATAAAGCATGGGGCAACATTTGAGTTAGATGAGGCTCCTGCTGCATTAGTACATATAGAAGGTCCTATAGAACAATACAATGGCATGCAGAATTATATTAGGCCTTTGATTTCTGTAAGACAATTTAATAAAAAATAGAATATACCAATTAAATAATTTAATCTTTCTTTAATTATTCGTTGCAATGCCCTATTGAAAAAATTATAATTAAATAGCTTGACAGATGCAACTTCTCTCTGAGTAATTTTTAAAATAGATAATACCAGTACATCATGTTGAATATAGTTTTTTGTCATATTTGCATTCTTAATTTTAGATTAATTGGAATGTTAAATAAATTTCTAAGAGAGTGACTAATGGCTGCACAATTGATGTAATTCATAATTGATGTAATTGAAAATTATAATAGATGTAATTGTACATTACCATATATTTGCATTTATATATCTACGGTACCTCCATAATGGATATGTAGCACAAAGATTAATTCATGTCAGAGTCATTTAGTCAGATCACATGTGCTTAACAATTAAAATATTATCATAGCAAGTCAAACAACATCTATAAACAATAATTATGACCATGGAAATTCATTTAATAGCTACACTTCAAGCTTTTAGAATACACATTTTTACCATATGGTAGACTCTGGCAATATACCAAGATTTATTTTTGTAACAAAGTGATAGATATAAAATTGAAAGATTTCTTAATAAACCAAATACAGGACATATAAGATATAATATCATAATTAAAAGCTCTAAGTAAAATATCATTTAACCTAAATCCAATCTGAAATATTGGCTTGAAATAATATCATTTAACCAATATTTAATCTGAAATATTAGATTGAACATTAATTTTACTGTAAATGGGTTGCCAAAGATCTTTCAGATATTTGCTCACTTTCTGCACCTTATAAATTGATAGGTAAATGAGATGGGTAAATATAATCAAATTTCATTGTCTTAAATGATTTTTTTTCTTTTTTTGTTAACCAGAGCCTTAGCTAACCAAGGTTCTAGTGTAAATGCATTTTTACTTCTAGGGGTGTCCCATTCCCATATTACCCTGGGGGCCCTTGGGGGCAGGGGGGTGTCCCGCAATACCTNGGGGATGTCCTGCAATACCTCGTCTTGCAGAAATGCATGCCATTTTGTTTTGGCTTGAGGTAAGCAAATTCCGTAAATAAAGTTTTAAGTCAATACCAAACACCAATACCTGTCAGCAAGTTTTTTTTTTTTTTCAAGCAAAATTTGTTAATACAGCAAATAATTTTTTTAATACAGATTATAACAGTACTTTTTCAAAATATCACTTTTCATCATTTTTTGTGGATTTTTTAAAGCTAGTAAATCTATGAGTTCTTAGCTTCCTTTATGCTGCATAGATGAGAAATATGTTGAAGTTTAAGCCACTATTTTTAGTTTGGCAATATCTCAATTAGTTTTGCTGCTATAACATTTTTACGCCATGAGAGAGGACTCCCAATTTACCATGCCTGTGCAGCCTGTCCCTTATTATCCCATTTGACAACAGACAATAGTAGTAAATGTACCAGAATGTATAGAAACTTCCTGAATTAGAAGGATTGAAGGAACAAAGAGAATATATGGACTTAATCAATTCTTTGGCAAGACATAGATATTTCTCATAAATCCATTGTTGTTTTCAAGCCCAATTCTATCACAAGTAGAAAAATTAGTAGCTATTTTATATCTGTCAGGCACTCAGGCTGGCATAGTGGCAAAGCAGAGAGTTTTTTAGACTCTCCCTCAGCCTCAAGTTCAATTATGAGTACTAAAATTAAGAAGGTATGCCACTGTTAACTGTTACTGTCAGGAAAGTAAAATTTCCAGTTAGACTCTAATCAGTGTCAGGCACATTATTTGTGCCTGACAAATGACAATTAAAAATTATTAATGATATATAATAATGATATAGCCACTTCTAGTCGAGTATTTTGTAATTCAAATATTTGCAGAGGTGGGCAGTAGCGCGCTACATGTAGCGGCCGCTACATTTTCAGTAGCTGTAGCGGTAGCGGCGCTACACTTAAGGCAATGTAGCGATAGAGGTAGCGCCTTCTACATATTTAAGTAGCGATACGAGGTTTTGCCGCTACAGCGCTACTGCTACATTTATAGATAACGCTTTTAGATTTACCTAATAGTGTTAAATATTATTTAAAAGCCAGCATGATACATAATAGTATAAATTACAGAATAAAACTGTACGAAAGATTTCGGTGTATTGTTGTCAACCTCAGCCTGTTACTAGTGTCAACATGTTAGTTGTTACTTGTTAAGTTGTTACCAGTTACCACTTACAGGTATTTTTTCGTGTTTCAGTTTGCTTAGTTATTTTTACAGTTATTTTTATGTTTAATCTCAAAAATAATCCACAAATATATACAAATAAAAGACTGATTTTTTTTATATGTATATGGGGATAATTTTTGAGATTGGTCGATTAAAGTAGACATCCATGTAGGGAAGGTAAAACATAAAAATAACTGTAACTTTTATTTACTGTATCTAACACGAACTAGTTCGGTTAGGTTAATTGCAATAAAGTTGCATTGATATCTTTTGAAAATGTTTTATTATCATTAAATGTTTATGAGTAAATCCCAATAGCAGAACAATAAATATTTAGAGATTTCCAATAATTTTGGCCATTGTAGCGGCTAATGTAGCAGCGCTATATTTTACTGTAGCGGTAGCGGTAGCGCTCGCTACAATCTAGTGGGTGGAGCGGCAGCGGTAGCGCCCGCTACATTTGGAGCATGTAGCGGTAGCGTAATCTGAAACTTATTACCATTTTATTCTTGGAACATAGCTGTTGAAATATTGATCGGTTATTCACGATTATATTGCCATTCTATTATAGTTTACATTTGTTCGTTTGTTTGCTGATTTGTTGAGCAAAAACATTATGCGGAATGTTTTAATCAATGACAAAATTCGAGAAGTACAGGGGGGGTTTAGAACAGATGGAGCAATTTGAAGCGAAATAAAAGGATAATGGAGGTACGAAAGGATGGTAACTTTTCCTCATTTCCTTAGATGGCAACTTTTTCCACTAGAATTTGATTATAAATAAAGCTCATAAAAATGGAAAATTAATGTTTTTTATATTCACAATTCTTATGTGTTTGCAGTTCCATCAAGAAAAAATTTAAGACTTGAGACGACTGGCCAGGCGGCCGTGGTCAAGCTCACCGTCCGAGAGTTGGAAGGAGGCACCTAAATCCAGGGAACGACAGAGGTGCCGGTGGTGTCTTATGAAGAGGCCATGCATTGTTTTGATCGAGTCAGTACCAATTTTTATTGCATTTTCTTATGTCCATCTCGACCGTTCTGAGGAAGTACTGATGGACATAAAAAAGTTATGCTGAAATTTGACATCCAGCTACGAGTTTATTCATTGGTGACTGAAATGAATATGGAAGACGACCCATAAATAACTGCTATTGTAGAGGTCGTCCTTAGTCAGGCTCTAGCACATCATCGATGAGGCTTCACGGTTAAAGCTTTTTAACCTATATCACACGGAAAAATCGTAGGTACGAGGGGGACACTTACTCTGTTTAATCTCCGAATTTATTTCTGCATTCTTGTCATATGTTTATTGTGGCGCATGCTGAACAGTGTTCTTCTTAACTTATTTCATTTCTGCAGGGCTCCCTAGGGTGTAAGGGTGATTGTTGTTATCATTGCATGTGCATCTCCTCTCCCCAACTGCGCGGAGGTTACGAAAAAAAACGCTGCAGTTCGCCAGACGAGAATCGAAAATCGGATACGATTGGAAAGAGTGAAAATTGTTCTTCGTGAACGAGAGGTCTAGTGTGTGGGTTATGCAAATCTCGAAATGTGAATAAATATTCTTCGAATTGGTTTCTGCATACTCCTCAAATGTTTATTGTTGCGCATGCTGAACAGTTTTCTTCACAACTTATTTCATTTCTGCAGGGTCCCTAGGGTGTAAAGATCATTCACTTACCATCGTCTGCGTATCTCCTCTCCTCATCTGCGCTGAAGAGAGGAGGGAAACATTGAAGTTATAGTCGGCCAGGCCCTGAAAATCCGATATGATCGGAAAGGGGGGGGCGAAAATCGCTCGTCTTGAACGAGAGGTACAGTCTGTCGGTTTTACAAATCTCGAAATGTGAATAAATATCTCGTGGCCGAGTTGGATAGAGTATTATGAAGGAATTAAAATGTAATATACCCTTTCAAATCGTAGTTACTTGCTATGCAACCCGGGTTTTGGAACAGAGGGATAGAAATGTTGCTCAATTCAATAGAACCAATTGCTAAACAGTACATGTACTCTTATGCTCCTTCGTACGTCAACATCGGTCACATCAGCCTTATAATAATAATAATATAATGATAGCGGTTTCAGCGTTTAGTAGGCCGTTGGCCTGTCGCCGATTCTTAACATCGCAGAACATTCACAGTATTTTGCGGTCTCAAACTCGCAACTCACTGCTACAATTCTACTTTGCTTAACCGCCCGGCCTCCTCGCCGATTCTGACCAGAAACTGGCGCACAGAGCTGGGATCGAACCCGCGCCTCTCTGCGCCAATCCTGGTACTCTGAACTTTAACCACTGGGCCACCTTGCAGCAGCCTTGCAGCAGCAGGAGTAAGTGACGAGCGCCCAGTTGAAAATAATGTGAGCGAAGAGTCAGTTTCTGGAGTGGGAGATCTAGAAACAGTCGGTGAGCACGGCCTCTATTATCGAAGAGAAGAACACACTTTTCGCGGAACAACTTGTAAGTTCTGTTAACGCAATATTACTCTACCATTAGAGCTAGTTTCCAGTATCTGGTTTCAATTCCTTCCTAAACCATGTAGTCTCAGTCTCGCCAGCTAGCTTCAGAACCTGCACTACTATAGTCCTATAAAGAAAGATTGAAGACTGAAGCTTCCCAGTCTCCGTTATCGTCGCCTGCGTGGTGACCTCATTGAAGTATACAAGTATACTCATGGTTTGTACAAGGTCCCAGAAGGATTACTAGAATTTGAAGCAAGAACTAACACCAGGGGCCACAGCTATTAACTAAAACAATTGCGGTGCAACTTATCCACGCGATAACATTTCTTCTCGCTTCGAGTCACCGACATGTGGAACAGTATCCCTGAAGATATTGTTGACGCTCCGAGTATATAAACGCGTTCAAGACATACTAGACAAGGCCATGCAGGAGAATATGTTTAGTCTTCAGATGCCTCGAATCCTGCGGAACAACTGAAATCTAGAAGCAATTTTAAATCTACCGTCCATTGAAAAGATTTGATCAAAAGGCCAGTCTAGTCAAGAAAAGTACAAGAATCGGCGACAGGCCTATTCTTCAATGCCAAAGAACAGGCCTGGATTACTGTACTATACTGAACCTAAAAATCGGAATAACTTTGGCAGTCAAGTTTAAAGATTTCCAGTCTTAAAAAGATTTCCAGGATATCGAACAATGTCGTCTGAATGGACATAGACGAGATTTAGAAGCATTTATAACGTCATAACATAAATAAGATGATACTTCAATAAAATGTAGTGGAGTAAATCATACTCGGGTGGGAATAGCTGTGTATGGGGGCGACTGTGCTAGGAATTAACGGCACGTTGGCGCTTGTGAAATTAACATTACGGTAATGTTGATGTACACATCTGAATGGTGTATTGTGACTACATGGACATCGTTGTTTGATGAAAAGTGGAAAAAATTTCCAAGTATAATAAAAATTAGACAGTTCCCCGTAACATATACTGATATTGTCAGAAATTGGCATATATGCCTTCATCCACAGCATTGCACGTTGGCCCAAGAAAACAGTAATTAGAATAGTATAATTATGGTAACAATAAATCTTTAGGAGACGATCTCCATGAAGAATTGACACGTAACATAATAGTCACGATAAAAATCAACAATAACGAAGACCCTCGCCAACCAGCTCTTTGAACACAATTTACAATGATCCAGTGAATGAGCTAACGCATAACCAATGTACCAACTTCTTTGTGGCTAGGTTGCTTAGCATGCATGTACTCGCCCCCGGTATTATGTTAGCTTTCTGACATCAAGGCGTTTAAATTCATTGCCTCTACAACCCCATTCTTGCATTTTTTGAACAGTCTTCTAACTGGAGAGACTGATGGGAAGAAGACTGATGGGAAGAAGACATGGGAAGAAGACTGATGGGAAGAAGACCTTCCTATTTGACTACGTGTTTGGCCGAGAAATAACGCAAGAGCGCATCTACAAAGAATGCGTTCAAAAAAAAATCTGAAAGATACGCAATGGTAAGCTAGCTTTCAATCCATGTGTATATTGCTTGTAATTTTTGAAGAAAGTGTATAAGTGTGTTAATGTAGCAATTAGATACAGCATAAGGTTGTTATCTAATCTTTAGATCTAATCTAATAACATGAGCTGTTTTCTAATTTCCAAATTCTATATCTCCAGGATTAAATATTACCATTTTGTTTGAATAATATCTTTTAATAATATCTAAAGTCTTTCAGTAATATCTAATATCTTTTATCAGGTTAAATGTTATAAATTTCTTCTGAATTTATCACTATTTTGGCTTAGCAATAATCTTATCTAATTTGATAATTTGTTTATTTCCAGGATCAACATTCACCATTCTGGCCTATGGCCAGACTGCTTCTGGAAAAACATATACCATGGGAACGGGGCAGCAGCGGGATGGCGACTTGGGAATAATTCCCAGGGCATCTATGACCTCTTCGAAGACATCGAGGAGCGGCCACGTGGCGACATCTCCTTCTCATTTGTTGAGGCAAGTCATTCATTGCTTGTGTCCATCTAATATTCTCACTCTTTGTGTGCATTTATTACCTATTTTATTTATATGATGCATTTTTGTTGAAGAGAAAAAGCATCATAGGCCAATAAAAATGTTTTGTCATACGTATTATTTGTGATTGATTGTTTAAAGTTGTATACGTTTTATTTAAACATGAATAAATATGTTTATTTATCTTTCCTTCTGCTAGCAGACTATTTCCTCGGATGGCTACTTTTTCCGATAGGATTTGATAATATATAAAGCTCATAAATATCATAATGTGGAAAATTAATGTTTATAGTATTCACAATTCTTATGCGTTTGCAGATATACAAGGAGAAGATGAAAAATTTACTCGCTGCGACTGGACAAGGAGCAGTTTCCAAGCTAGCCTTTCGTGACGTTAACGGATCCACTTTCATCCAAGGTCTCACCGAGCTGCCGGTGGCGTCTTACGAAGAAGCCATGCGGTATTTTGACAAAGTCAGTACCAATTTTTATTGCATTTATTTGTGATGTCCATATTGACCTTTCTTCATTATTACGAGTTCTTGTTAGTTTTAGTTAGTTAGTTCACCGTTGTTTTTCTTCTTGTTGAGCAGGGCTGTGACAACCGAGTTTCGGGCTGTACTCTCCAGAACAGAGTAGAGCAGCCGGTCACATGCAGCAGTCAACGTGCGCAGTGATACTGCAGCATTGGGAGACAGGTGAGTTGCCCCTCTTGCTCTTCTTTGTTGACTCTAGTGGGTAAGGGACTAATCACCAGGTTCCATATCTGAATCTAAAAACTTTTTGGTAGATATCTAATTCCAGGATTTGATAATATATTATAAAATCTTAGAAGAAATAATACATTGAAATTATATTCCACTTACATTAAATTTTGCATGTATGCTTAAGTGGCCGTTATATTTGCAGCGACAAGGTAGTGACCGGCAGATTACTTCTTGTCGACCTCGCTGGAAGCGCACGACCGGCGGAAGGCGCGGCTGGCGAAGGGTCCAGCATAAACCTAGGGCTGCTCAGCCTTGGCAGGGTAGTGGACGCCCTCGCTAATTCGGCCCCGCATGTGCCGTACCGTAACTCAAAGCTTACAATGCTGCTTAAAGGTAAGACTTGTATTTTTAGAATAAAATGTATGATGCAATGAAACATTGATTATATTCTGTCTTGAGTAGCGAGGGCTGATTCAAACTGCTACCTCAGTAAGTAAGACAAGACCTGGTTTCATCATATCGCTAGTGGATTTAGGTATTTGTTGATTAAATTATGTACGTTTATTCAGATGATTTGCCGGTTTCTCGGAATGCTGCAGTCTTCAGGTGCTTTTCTTGGGGTAGACGCACGCACACCTATGCTACTTTCTCACATAGTGTTGTGTAAATTTCTCGTATTATGTTTATTGTTGCGCATGCTGAGCAGTGTTCTTCACAACATATTTCATTTCTGCAGGGACCCTAGGAGGTAAGAGTGACTCGCTTATCATTGCCTGTGTTTCTCCTGAGTGCAACTGCGCGGAGGAGACGCATAAAACACTGCAGTTTGTACGGCAGGCTTTGAAGATTGGTTACGATCCGAAGCAAGCAAGGATCGCTCGTCTTGAACGAGAGGTACAGTCTGTGGGTTTTACTAATCACGAAATGTAACTTTGTTGTGCCATATATCTGAAAAAATTGGTACGAGTGAAAAGTGTGTGAGGATAATTAAAAGCATGTATGTAAACACTCTTGCTAAATCCCGTATATCGTATATCGAGCTGTCAACATATCGAGCTAAATAATATAGACGAGGTAGTGACCGGCAGGTTGCTGCTGCGAACAACCGGAGGCACGCGCGACTGGCGAGGGCTCCAATATCAACCTGGGGCAGCTCAGCCTTGGCAGTCATGGCCGCCATCGCCAATTTGTCGATCTGATTCATGGACGCCATCCGAATAGCAACCACCAGACAAGTGGCGAATTGATGTGAGAATAATTTACATACTCCGTTAGGAGGTAACTTTCCGGTATACATAGCGGTACACTTTGAGTGTACAGAAATGTTGCACATGTACACGTTGCAAAAATAAATGGTATGGGCGCCCCATTCAGGGCATATGTTGTACAGACTCTTGCCTCTATTCGTCTTTTGATGCTGAAAGCCGTGGCGAATTCTATGCACACCAGACTCTTGAACTGGACTTGTGTTGTCGAAAGCCGCTCCTCAAAAATTTCCAGTGGTTTGGTTTCAACTACGCCAACCTCAACAGGACTAACCCGGAGAATGAACTTGCGTCGGCGGCGGTAGATTTCACGTCAGCCGCAATTAGTAGGGCCACGGCTTGAATGCATTGCCAACAGCATCGACGTGGAAGGCACTACCGCGGTCATCGGGGAGGATCTACGAATCAATCCAGCTTCACGACGACCAACTATGCCGCAATTAGTAGGGCCACGGCTTAAATGCATTGCCAGCAGCATCGACGTGGAAGGCACTACCGCGGTCATCGGGGAGGATCTACGAATCAATCCAGCTTCACGACGACCAACTACACCGCGATCCTACTCGAATCAAAGAGGCGTAAGTGACGTGCTGAAACGTGTGCTAAGGAACAATAGCGACGTTTTATGGATCATGTGGAGTTGTACAAATGGAAGGAGCTAGATTCTGCTCAAGAAATGACGATGTCTGCATATAATCCGCCACTGACGAACTTAATTCATCCGAGTTCAAACCGAAAATCCTGCGAGGATGGCAAAAGCTAACTCTTAATTCAGAAAATGCGGTGCTCGGTATTAAAATATTTGAAGCACTACCAGAAGCAGAATTAGCTAACCCCTAATTCTGAAAATGCGGTGCTCGGTATTGAAATGTTTGAAGCTAATAAGGTCTCAATTGCTGTAGACGACAGTCAATGTGAACTATGTGGTGCCTTGCAGCAGCAGGTGACGAGTTCTCGGTTGAAAAAGAATCAAATTCTTCGCTTGGCGAGCGAAGAATCAGTTTCTGGAGTCTGGGATATGGAAACTGTCGGAGAGCAAGTCCTCTATTAGCGAAGAGAAGAACACCCTTTTGCCGGAACAACTTTTAAGTCTGTAACTGCAACTTTGCCTTACCATTAAAGCTAGTGTCCAGGGCTCAAGGTAAAAATAGCGTTGACCGTTGAAAACAAGCAATGTATCCTAATCTCAATTTGTTCCCCGCCTGTTTTTTAACCATCCTAGCACCGCCTCATGCTCCTGCTAACAACCTTCACCTATAAATTATTCACCTTCAAATTATAGCAGATTGTCCAACCCGACTATCTTGAATGCCTTAGCAGAGGGGAGAATCCACTTACAATATGCAACGAATTACGACGAGATAATTGCACTATGCTGCCTAATCAGTCGAAACCCATCACTCATTCGAAAGATATCGTCCTAGTTACCTCAGGTCCCAGCCAAGAATTGTGACGCTCTCGAAGTAGAAGTAATCGGCATAACGCGTCTTCGATGAGAACATGGTGTAACTGATGAGCTGTCTCTCAGGACTATGCATGGAAGTTGCTGACAGGGTTGCCAGATGGAGCGAAGATAAAAAAAATCCAAATTGGCTGGCAGAAATTTCAAAAAACCGCCCCGTCGTTGGCGTCGTAACTTACGAGGAATTTCTATATTCAAGGTAGTTACAAAAGTTTTCAGAGCGCACATTTTCGCCTCAGACTTTCAGAAAATTAAAGTTATACCAATTTCACTATGACTACGCTCTAAATTCTAAATAACGGTCAATGCCACATTAAGCGCCAACCTACAGCGAGTTGTAAATTACTTGCAGATCGTAACTGAGAACCGTATAATGCTAGTTAGTCGTCAGCATTATGACTTTTCTGATTCGATTGCCACCTAACAACTATTTATTTAACTATTTAACAGTCTTTACGATCGCGCTAAATAGACGAGGCATTGTGGGTAGAATGTTACGATCAGGCAGCCATTGCCCAATCAGTGACTGACGAGATACACAGAGATCAGAATGATGCTGTGTTGACGGACCGCTGGAGATACACTGAAGTCTGAACAGGAGAAAATTTATCTAACCACAGGTTGACAAAAAGTGATCTCTTTCTTTAGTGTACCTAATCAAGAAGTAAGGATGGCTGCTACAAATATTTATACATAGCGGATGAAAATAAATTTATTGCAAACCCATTTCTGCGGTAGAAAGATTATGTAGTCACTGCAGGACTAAAGTGAATATTGAAAGTCAATCATAAATTTTTCGAAACTTTTAAATGTTCAGAAAATATTCTTTTACCTAACATAACGAGCGAAATACCTAATAGAAATCGAACCAAGTAATGGAATACTTTCATAGTCTAAGGCAATTTGCTAAAAAATCATTTATCAAAACTTTCAAAGAACAAAACTACCACGATACTAAGTCTACCCTGTTAAAGTAAAATTATCCACAAATCAAATTTTAAAGAGCGTAGGAAGGATTATACTAATTCAAAGTGAAATTTATGGTGTTTTGCACTAAAATGGCTGAATGTACATATTGCGAAACAGCGCTGTAACCACAGAAATTACTAATGAATTTACTAATTTTCAGAAAAGTGATAACTGCCATCCATGGTTATTATATCAGTGGGCAACTGGATATAACCCCATGGTATAGTCCAAATTTGGGGGTCAGTTTTGTAGTCCCAGTGCGGAGGTCCGCTCGTAGGTTCCCATCGCTCAGTTGAGCGGTGAAGGCACAAATGCACAATATCATGAGGATTCGACTAGGTCGTGAGATTAGTATGTGAGTCACCAAGTTGATATGCTGCAGGCCTAGAGTTATCGGAGCAAGTTGCATTGCGTCAGATATTGCTTGGGGCTGTCTGTTCTAAAATTAGTTCGGAGAGTCTCCTTTAGCATCCTGGCAAGGGTTTCGTCTGGGTTCAGCAACACAGTATCAGGGAAGCAGTTCCTTCGGTCGGCGATGTAGCTTGGGCACTCTGTTGTCACTTGCATCACTGTCAGGGGGACTAGACAGTCGTTGCAGTAAGGCATTGGGCAATGTTCCATAAGGTATCTGTGGGTGAGCCGTGTGTGGCCGATCCTTAATCTACACAGGGCCAATTACATTCGCCGCGATTTCTGGTAGGACGAGTTCCAGGTTTGTATGCTGTCTTTCAGAGCTCGCAACTAATTTCCCTCAACATTCTGCCATTGATTTCGCCACACCCTACGGATGCCTGCTCTGATTATGGGGTAATAGTCACGGCTTGATATTTCTTCAGTGAAGATCGCCATGTTTGACGTTGCCGCGCTAATTGCCGTCTCATCCGCTCTCTCGTTTCAACGCACCCCCATGTGGCTCGGCACCCACCAGACGCGCACCGTAATTCCCGCCGTCGCCATCTCTATCAGCCTCGTCAGGATATCTATAATGATTGGGTTCAGGAAATGATGATAATGATATAATAATCCTGAACCTACGCGAGGTTCAGGGCGCTAAGAACTCCGGGAGTTCGGCAGTGAAGACCGATGAATTAGGATTGAGTTTCCTTGATATCGTTGCGGCGCCGGACACAGCGTCACATCCCTCAGCGTCATCTGATTTGGAGCCATCCGTGTAGATGTGCGTCGATCCCGCATGTTCCGAAGATATATGGTTTTGGAACCGGTTTTTCAGTGCTGTCAGGTGTGTTGCCGGTTTTTGTGGGCAGTTCTGGTCGGGGCAGAAAAAATCTATGTGGATTTGCCACGTGGGGGGGATTTACCACGCCCTGTTGAGGTTTACGGGGACCACTCGTATCGGCGGTATCAGTGCTTACTGCTGCTTCCAGTAGTGCTTCGTGATCTTCAGAGGATGATATTTTATATGAGGGTAGGTTAGCTTGATCGTTGGTCATAACGCTGTGCCACGTTGGGTATTGTGGTAGTTGTCTAACACGGGTTATAAGTTGGAGCGTGAGTTGTGTTCTGCGAAGGTAAAGTGGTGGTTCACCGCTCTTTGCGTATAGGCTGAGAACAGATGTTCTGAAGGCCCCGGTGCGTATTCGCATGACTGCGTTATGTACAGAGTCCAATACAGACAGGGTGGTCTTATTGGCGTATTGATAAATTATGCAGCCATAGTCCAGCCCAGATCTGATAGTTGCTCTAGAGGAGGAACAGTGTTAGTCGGTCGGCACCCCATGTCAACCCGTCCCGTGTCTCAGCAGTTTCATTCTCTTCAAGCAACTGCCTTTCTGAGCCTGTATGTGGAGCTTCCATGAGAGCCTGCAATCGAAGGTCATCCTGAGGAATTTAGTTGTTGGGGATCTGATCAGTATCAGGAGTCTTCGATCCTTTGGTAGGACGTTAAACAGCCTCGGCCCTGCCACGGAATGTGATCCTTCCCGCAGGGATTGAAAGCTGACTGCAGATATGTTACCTTGTACAGTCTCCCCCTTCTCTCGTTGTGATATGTCTCAATCCTGAAAGTCTCGCTCTCGAAGTTTAGCGCCATTCCGGTTAATATCTTCCATGTGTACAGAATGACATACCTCTCCCGTCTCCTCTGTAGTGAGTACAGACCAAGACGCCTTAACCTCTCCCAGTAGATCAACTCTTCCATCCCTAATCTGATCCTGGAATTGAAGGTTCGCTGGACACCTTCCAGTTGCCGCACTGCGCCGAGTGTGAACGGGATCCAGAGCTGGCAGCAGTATTCAAGGATTGGTATTACAAGGCTCTAAAGAGTGTGATCATTGGTTCCGGTTCTCTTGTTTTGAACGTCCGCCAGATCCACTTCATCTGTCGCCTACCTCTTGCGGTTATTGCCGTTATGTGATCACCAAAATTATATATAGCGGTTTCAGCGTTTATTAGGCCGTAGGTCTGTCGCCGATTCTTAACATTGCAGAACATCCGCAGCTTGTTGCGGGATTGAACTTGCAACTCACTGCTTCAAATTTTTTTGCTTAACCGCCCGGCCTCCTTGCCGATTCTGACCAGAAACTGGCGCACAGAGCTGGGATCGAACCTGCACCTCTCTGCTCCAATCTTGGTACGGTACTCTGAACGTTGACCACTGGGCCACCCTGCCCTGTATTATACGTTACATTCAACTTAAGGCTTCTTTCAGTTACTAAAATGCATGGCGGTAGGCATTATCACACTAATTATTTCGCAACTTTCTCCTTGTGAGTATTTTTTTGCCGGCATTGGGAAGTTCTTTTTGTGTGTTGTTCTGATAACTATATAATCACACCTACCTGCTTCCAGTTCGAGAAATGCTTTTATTGACATCCATATCTTTGATTGATCGACTTCCTTGCAAAGGCCAAATTTCATGACATTTAACCGATCATAGTCTTGAGTTTTCAAAGACATAATTACTGGTACCTATATTCCCATCCGTTCACAGTCATAAATAATTAAAGACTGTGAAACTAAAGAAATAAAGACTTAATTAATGTTAAAGTCATAGTGATATTCCTTTTATACGTATATACCAAACATGATATGTATTATGCATCTCATCCCTCCCACATGAAGCTCCTGGTGTTTGAGCTCTCACCTTAACGTCCTGGCAAGGCAAGAATTAAAGACTTAATTGATCTTAAAGACAAAATCATGTTTTAATTACACTACCAAGTATCACATGTACAATTGATCTTAAAGACAAAATGATAAAGACTCTACCAGGTAAAACATGTACATGTCATCTATCCCACACAATGCGCCTGGTGTTGAAGCTCTCTCAGCTCAACGCTCGTGCAATTAAATTAAACGCATTAAAGACTTAATTGAACTTAAAGACAAAATGAATGATAAAGACACAACCAGGTAAAACATGTACAATGTACACGTCATCTATCCCACAAGAAGCGCCCGGTGTTTAAGCTCTCTCAGCTCAACGCCCTTGCAAGGCCGTAACTTTCTCATGCGCGCGGTCATTGCCTTCTTCCAACTGCCGACCAAACCAGTCTTGAGCCGTGGCTCGACTTTCTCTGCTACGCCACTCCTTTCTTCAGCCTCGATAACTCTTGTCAAGCTCACAGCAACCATTTGTAGGTAACAATGAAATAGAACAA